CTGCCAATCTGGAATGCCTGGTCTTGAGCTGTCGCCCTTTTTATCTTCCGCGGGAGTTTTCTGTGATATTTTTATGCGCTGTTTAGATCCACCCACGAGCGGACTATACTGTAGCCCTACAGGATCTGAGCGAGATCCTTCATAAATACGAGACTGCTCATCCTAATGCAGTGATTATTGTCGCTGGGGATTTTAACAAATGTAATTTAAAGACTGTACTCCCAAATTTCTACCAACATGTGACTCGAGCTACAAGAGGAGCACAGATCCTGGATCACTGCTACAGCAATGTGAAGGGAGCTTACAGGTCCAGTCTCAGACCTCCATTTGGAAAGTCTGACCACTCCTCTGTTCTCCTTCTTCCCTCATACACTCAGAGGAGCAGGGAACATAAACCAACCTCACGCACTGTGCAGTGTTGGTCTGAGGAGGCTAGCATGAAGCTACAAGGGTGTTTTGATGCTACGGACTGGTCTGTGTTTCAATCAGAGGATGTTAATGAATTCTGTGACGCTGTGACTGGATACATACGCTTCTGTATTGACTGCTGTGTCCCACAGAAGGTCATTAAAGTACATCTCAGTTAAAACCCTTGGATGAACGCGGAAGTGAAACAAAAACTTCATGAGCGTGCTCTGGCGTTTCAATCTAACGATACAGTTGCCTATAAGCTATCCTGTTATGCATTGAAACGTTCTATTAAATATGCAAAGCGCAGTTACGGGGACAGGTTAAAGGGTTATTTTAAGGAAGATGACCCTCGGCGCATGTGGAGCGGTATTAAAGCCATCACGTCCTGGAAACCTAGTGCTGGGAAAATCGGATCTGTTGGCCCAGCTCTGCCTAATGAGCTGAACTCGTTCTACTGCCGCTTCGAATCTGCTGATGGCTGTCCTACTGTCTTTCCTGATTGCCTCAATCAAGGTGCGTTCACCGTGACTCAGGAGGCAGTCCAGCGGGTCTTGTCCAGCACCATTGTCCGGAAAGCCCCTGGCCCGGACGGCATCCCTCCTCGTGTCCTGAAACTGTGCTCTGAGCAACTTTCCCCTGTGCTAACAGACATTTTTAACCTGTCGCTAAGGAACTGTACTGTGCCGAACTGCTTCAAAGAGTCGACCATTATCCCAGTTCCTAAGAAAACTCCTGTGACATGCCTTAATGACTATCGTCCTGTGGCCCTCACTTCTGTCCTAATGAAGACTTTTGAGCGGCTTGTGCTGGACTTCATTAAGAGCCAGATCCCTGTGAGTGTTGACCCGCTCCAGTTTGCTTACAGACAGAATAGGAGTGTGGAGGATGCCATCTCCTTTGCTCTGAACTCTGTCTACAGTCACTTGGACAATAGGAAATCTGTTGCAAGAATGCTGTTCATTGATTACAGCTCTGCTTTTAATTGTCTTGTCCCAGGTATACTGATTGAAAAACTCATGTCTCTCGGCTTAAGTGTTGCCATGTGTAAATGGATCTATAGCTTTTTAACAGACAGATCTCAGAGAGTGAAAATCAATGACTGTTTTTAAGATGTTGTTTCTGTGAGCACTGGATCTCCTCAGGGATGTATTTTGAGTCCTTTACTTTTTACACTGTACACTCATGATTGTGTGTCTTCCTCAGACTCTAACCTGATCATCAAATATGCTGATGACACCACCATCATCGGTCTCATCAGTAATAACGATGAATCGTCTTATAGAGCCGAGATCCAAAACGTGGTTCAGTGGAGTAAGGCTAACAACCTCCAGCTGAACGCATCCAAAACATGTGAACTGGTCTTTGATTTCAGTCGCAATAGTTCTCATTTGCCTGTCGCAATCGATAACTCCCAAGTGCAGATTGTAGAGGAGTGTAAGTTTCTGGGTCTAACTCTGTCTAATGACCTGAAATGGGTTAAAAACATTGACCGGGTCGTAAAGAAAGCTCGTCAGCGTCTCTACTTCCTGCGGAAACTTAGAGAATTTACCACTAACTCTAAGATTCTGCTGAACTTTTATCGCTGCACCATTGAGAGTTTACTTGTTGGTTCTGTGTCTGTGTGGTTCGGTAACATCACAGATAAAGAAAAGAGAGCTCTAAACAAGGTGCTCCGCTCTGCTAAGAGGACTGTAGGCTGTGAACTTCCTGTCCTGGAGGCTCTTTATCAATCCAGACTTTTTAACAGTGCCCTGAGAATTATCAAAGACTCTTCTGGCCACCCAGGAAAAGCCTTGTTCCAGCTTCTTCCCTCTGGCAGAAGATACTGTTCTCTGAGATGCAGGACATCTCGTTATGCTAATAGTTTTTTTCCACGAGCTGTTAACAGTTTTAATAGAGCACTTTAATGTGTTTGCACTCGTATAGATCTGTTTTAAGTTGGTCAACTTCACGGTGACATTTGTTTTCACACTGTTTTTAAAATTTGTTTTATTTTTGTCTTTTAATGTTGTTTTGTGTCTGTACTTGTCCTGTGCACACTGGGAACTTTTACAAATGTATTCCACTGTAGTGTTACTGCAAATGGCGAAATAAATGAATCTGAATCTGAATGTGGAGACCGTATCTGCTTCCTTAACATAAATGGGAAGCTGATTCCACAGTAAAGGAGCTTGGTAGCTAAATGTGGAACGCACTGCCCCTGCACCTCAGACAGACAGAGTCTCTTGTTCCTTTTAAATCCTCTCTTAAAACACACCTTTTTTCCTTGGCTTTTAACACAACCTGAGAAGTTCGACTTTGGAATGTTTTGTACTTTTGTTTTTACTGTTTTATTAATGTAATCCTCATTGTTGTGTTCAGCACTTTGGTCGACGCTGTTGTTTTTAAAGTGCTTTATAAATAAAGTTGGATTGGATTGGATTGGAAATGCTCTGCCGCCGACAGTGATTTTTGAGACCTTAGGAACCACCAGACGTCTGGCGTTTTGTGAGCGCAACGCTCAACTTGGTTGATACGACACTAACGTGTCTTGGAGATAAGAAGGAGCCAAGCCATTTATGGCTTTATATGTTAAGAGTGAGGGAGTCACGCAAGAGTGAGGGGGTCACGCAAGAGTGAGGGAGTCACGCAGGCGCTTCGGACCGAGTAGGATCACTTCTGTCTTCTCCAGGTTGAGAAGTAGGAAGTTAAGAGTCTTCCACATTTTAAGGTCCTTTATGCAGGCACTGAGCTTTTCTAGCTGATCTGTCTGATTTGGCTTCATCGACAGATAAAGCTGTGTGTCATCTGCATAGCAGTGGAAATTAATTCCATGCTTTTTAATAATGTTTCCTAACGGCAGCATGTAGAGAGTGAAAAGAATCGGTCCGAGTACCGAACCCTGCGGCACACCGAATTCTACTCCAGAATAAGGTGACGAGTTCTGTTTAGTGTTAAATACAACTACATTACAATACTTACTACTATAAAGTTCAGTGAAATTGAGAGTTATGTCACCTGTTGTGTGTCAGAATGAGGAAGTAAAAGCCGTGTGGTCATATGACTTATCCCGCCAAAGCCACGTTCAGTTCAGTTCAGTTTATTTATTTGCCATTTGCAGTAAAAAAAACCCACATTGGAATACATTAGCAAAAAGTCTCCAGTGTGCACAGACAAATACAGACATAAACAACATTAAAAGACAGAAATAAAACAAATAAAACAGTAAACAAATGTCACTGTGAAATCGATCGACTAAAACAGTTTCAAAACAAGTGCATATCATTAAAGTGCTCTGTTCACACTGATAACAGCTTGTGGATAAAAACTGTTAGCGTAACGAGATGTCCTGCATCTCAGAGAGCGATATCTTCTGCCAGAGGGAAGAAGCTGGAACATGGCTTTTCCAGGGTGGCCAGAAGAGTCATTAACAATCCTCAGAGCTTTGTTTAAAAGTCTGGATTTGTGTGTCTTTGATTACAACAACACTGAACACAATGGCCACAATGGTTTTGCTAACAGTGATTTGAAACTCCAGGCTCCCCTCATTTAAACCAGATATATACTGTATATATCACTTTGTTAACGCTTAACTCATTGACTGTCATTGTCGTATTTGTCTGAGACTGGTGATTTTTGTCATTCTTCCCTCTATTCGACTGGTGATTACAGAAGAACAAAACTAGCTAGAAACCAAGTTATTTTTGCCAATGAAAGTAGACAGTCCAGTCTTTCAGAATCTGGTTTCATATTTCACCTAGTAATAGCACACGATATTCTGTGGGTCTTGAATCAGTGAAATTGTCAAAAACAGCCGGCAGTCAGTGAGTTAAATACTGTGTAATAAATTGGCCATTTACATCACATTACAGCTGTATTTAGCTGAGCCGCTCCTCTTTGTCCTCCTGTATATATTTCGTCTCATAATCCATTGTCCAGCTCTTTGAAGCTGATCTGAAAGCAGCTCCTTTATCATTATGTGTGTTGAGATCCTTTCTTCGTCCCACAGCGGGGAAATTCCAGTGTTGCATCACCAGTTACAGAACAGTAGGAATGAGGAGCACACAGCACAACATAGATTAATAATAAAATAAATTAGAATAAAATCTCTAACTCTAGCTTAAAAATAAACTAGTATTAAATCTCTATCTTTAGAATAATAAGGAAAGAAGTATAAAATCTCCAACTTTAGCATGATGCAGAAATATTGTATATGCTAGTGTAAGTAATATATAATTGTATGTTTATATCTGACACACGTGTTCCGTATTGCACATTTTGACATTTAAATTTTCAACATGGAATATTAAATACACTTCTGTCACTTTAGAATGTCATAGTTCTCAATAATCTGCACTGTTAAATGTATATTATCTATCTATATTAAATGTATTAAGATTAGTTTTATACTTTTTTAATAACTACTAGTTTGCGCCATGAGCCAAAGCAAATTCCTATTTTTTGTCTTTTTCTTACTTACAATTGGTGTGCAATTAAAAAGAGTTCTGATTGTGATTCTGATGTAATGTTGACATTTTATTAGCCATATACAAATCACACTGATCTAAAACAAGCTATGGTGATCGTTGGTCTTTCTGTTTGATGTTTAGGCCACACAGAACGAAAAACTCTGGTTCTACGCTGGATATGAGTACGATGCCTTCGGGGAGCGCATTCGCATTCGTGAGGACGGAACCTTCAACAAAACCTCGTTCACTCGTGACTTTCTGCTGCTCTACAAAGAGGTAGAAACACTTTCACCGACCACAAAACTGGTTTCTAAAGCTGCGGTGGAAGGTGCCAGAAAGATATTTGAACGTATTACCAAAACATTTTACCAAGTATTTTATATCTATTATATTGTCTATTGTGTGCATGTCTTGATTTTTTTTACAATTTTGAGTTGGTGCCTCTTTTTGTTGTACTTTCCCCTTTAAGAGGGCCACCCACGGAGGCCAGTCACACACAGCCTGATTAACGTCTTAGGACCAAACGTTTCATTTTCCAATAAAAATATATTTTTCCAAGGACAGCAATGTGCGGGAACCATTATTTTTATGAATGTGCACCGTGACTCTCTCCCCCTTTATGAATGTGCACTGGGACTCTCCTCCTTTATGAATGTGCACTGGGACTCTCTCCCCCTTTATGAATGTGCACTGGGACTCTCTCCCCCTTTATGAATGTGCACCGGGACTCTCTCCTCCTTTATGAATGTGCACTGGGACTCTCTCCTCCTTTATGAATGTGCACCGGGACTCTCTCCTCCTTTATGAATGTGCACCGGGACTCTCTCCTCCTTTATGAATGTGCACTGGGACTCTCTCCTCCTTTATGAATGTGCACCGGGACTCTCTCCTCCTTTATGAATGTGCACTGGGACTCTCTCCTCCTTTATGAATGTGCACTGGGACTCTCTCCTCCTTTATGAAGGTGCACCGGGACTCTCTCCTCCTTTATGAATGTGCACTGGGACTCTCTCCTCCTTTGTGAATGTGCACTGGGACTCTCTCCTCCTTTATGAATGTGCACTGGGACTCTCTCCCCCTTTGTGAATGTGCACTGGGACTCTCTCCTCCTTTATGAATGTGCACCGGGACTCTCTCCTCCTTTATGAATGTGCACTGGGACTCTCTCCCCCTTTGTGAATGTGCACTGGGACTCTCTCCTCCTTTATGAATGTGCACCGGGACTCTCTCCTCCTTTATGAATGTGCACCGGGACTCTCTCCTCCTTTATGAATGTGCACTGGGACTCTCTCCTCCTTTATGAATGTGCACCGGGACTCTCTCCTCCTTTATGAATGTGCACCGGGACTCTCTCCTCCTTTATGAATGTGCACCGGGACTCTCTCCTCCTTTATGAATGTGCACTGGGACTCTCTCCTCCTTTATGAATGTGCACTGGGACTCTCTCCTCCTTTATGAATGTGCACTGGGACTCTCTCCCCCTTTGTGAATGTGCACTGGGACTCTCTCCCCCTTTATGAATGTGCACTGGGACTCCTTTATGAATGTGCACTGGGACTCTCTCCTCCCTTTGTGAATGTGCACTGGGACTCTCTCCTCCTTTATGAATGTGCACTGGGACTCTCTCCTCCTTTATGAATGTGCACTGGGACTCTCTCCTCCTTTATGAATGTGCACTGGGACTCTCTCCTCCTTTATGAATGTGCACTGGGACTCTCTCCTCCTTTATGAATGTGCACTGGGACTCTCTCCCCCTTTGTGAATGTGCACTGGGACTCTCTCCCCCTTTATGAATGTGCACTGGGACTCCTTTATGAATGTGCACTGGGACTCTCTCCTCCCTTTGTGAATGTGCACTGGGACTCTCTCCTCCTTTATGAATGTGCACTGGGACTCTCTCCTCCTTTATGAATGTGCACTGGGACTCTCTCCTCCTTTATGAATGTGCACTGGGACTCTCTCCTCCTTTATGAATGTGCACTGGGACTCCTTCCCCTCTCCTACGCACCTGCCCAAACAATTCATGTGCAAGTTTCGACATTTTTACTTTTAATAATTATCTGTTTAACTTTGTGTTTTCTCTGAGTTTACTATTTGCTCAGAGAGACTATTCATGGTTTTTTAATTTTTTACTTTTAAAAGTGGTTTGCACCTTAAACCAAAGCAAACTCTTGTTCTTGTTCTTAGTCACATACTCATACAGTTTCATCCTTTCTGGGCCGAATTGTTTAAAATTCTGCCAATCACATGTTGAAGATGGTAGCAAGAGGAATACATTTTTGACAAATTCTCAAAATGTCTTTGATCTTCCTCACTTCAGCGTCCACTTGTGTGTTTGTGTTCCAGGCCGTGTTGTACGAGATCGATAGTGTGAAATATACATGTATCAAGAGGCCTCTGAAGGGGCACTTCCAGCTCTTGGGGATCCCCGATGATGCTAACTTTGTGGGGCAGTATGTGATCGGGGCCTCCTCCGGACCTGGGCAGGGGGTTCTGGTCAACACCTGGGGCCAACACGAAAACAGAAAAAAAAATGGTAACACTTTAAATTAGCCCTCACTAATTAGTGAGTGCTATCGCTTAGTGCTATCCACTCAGCGGCACCGTGGCTGAGTGGATAGCACCCTCGCCTCTCAGCAAGAAGGTCCTGGGTTCGAATCCCGGTCGGACCAGGGCCTTTCTGAGTGGAGTTTGCATGTTCTCCCCGTGTCTGCGTAGGTTTCCTCCGGGTACTCCGGTTTCCCCTACCACTAAAAATAAGTACAATAGTTCTGGCATGCGCCTCCTGTACTGGCAACCCCGCTCCCATCTCTGTGTGGAGTGAGAGACAAATGCCCATAATTAACAATTGTAAACCGCTTTGAGACTCAGATCTGCAGTGAAAAGGCGGTATATAAATAAAAACTTACTTACTTACTTACTTACTACTTACTAATTAACAGCAAATTAAGAGTCAATTAGTGTACTCTAACCCTTACCTTAGCTCTAGCCTCAACCCTTACCTCAGCCCTAGCCCCAGCCTTAACCCTTATCCTAACCGTGAGAGGAGACCAGGGGAAGACCCAGGACACACTGGAGGCCTGGGAACGCCTCAGGATTCCCCCAGATGAGCTGGAGGAAGTCTCTGCTTGGACTGCTTCCGCTAAAACAGTGTCTAGAAAGTGATATCACATGTTGTACCTTTGAGTAGGTTTGTGTAACAGCAGTGAGTGTGTGTGTGCAGATCCGTACATGATGACAGTGACAGAGTTCGGCTGTTTCCCTGTGAGCACTTTGACCCACACCAAAGACTTCGGCTGGATGGTCACCAGGTGAGTCTCTAGTGAGGTTTAGCTTTTGGGTTAGCAGCTGTGTGTCATTAGTTCACTGCAAAAAGTGATGAAAAATGGGCTAGAAATTTCTCAAATTTAGCTAAATATTTCTTGATTTTTTTTTAGCACATTCTGACTGAGCCTTAAAACTGGATTTGCCAAATGGGACAAAGCAAAACAAAGCAACAGTTCCTGAAAATAAGACTAAATGGCTTTGTCCCATCAGAGATAGCCTGGTCGTACCACACCATAGTACAAATGACATTTCGTACTAAGGTCTGGAGGTGCTCCATTGAGCTCCGTTTACAGGTGGGAGGGGTCAACTCCTTTTGCAGATTGAAACGATTGGATCTGAGTTTACAGTGTGTTGTTAGCATTTAGCATTTAGCCTAGCCATCTCCTTTGCCGCTAACGAAGCCCATGGGGAGTAGCGCCACAATTTTTTCCAGCGATTACATTTGCTAAACATTCCTCTTGTTCCGGCTTCAATTTCTTGATAGAACCAGACCAGAATACTTTACTATTGCACTTTTCGCCATTGTCAAACTACAACCTGCTCGTTCGACGCAAACTCTTGACATCACCCACAACTGTCTACAACACCCGCCTCCCATCCTCGCTGATTTGTCGGTCGAAATTCAACCGATTGTAATCGCAAACACGGGGACCAGACCCAGACGTTACATGCAGTGAAATGATGATTGAGCGGAGTGTACGGATGGATAAGGCCAGGCTACATCGGAGAATCTTGTTTTCCAGAATGTGCTTGGTTAAAGATTTTTTTTTTAAACTTGATACCTTATATTTTAAGGAAAGCGTTGAGTTTTTTCCATACTCTTTTTTTTTGTTTTTTTGTTGAGTGGTTCCTTTACCGATGCAGGAGGGTCTACGGACAGTGATGATCCTATGGACCAATTATGTCTTTTTTATTATTGCATTTCCTTGATTCTCCAATCTGTGGTTAGCGAATTGACAACTTTGGAAAGACCTCCCAGACGACTGCCACTGTGATTTGTGTGGCCAAACCTGCAGGTGAAAGCCAGATCCCCTCAGACCTTGAAAGCCGAGCAGGGCAGGGCTTGGTTAGTACTGTGATGGGAGACCTCTGGTGACGCAGTGGGGCGGCTGCAGCGGTAAAGTGCCAAACTGTGGTTGTGTCCTTAGGCAAGACACTTCACCAACATTGCCTAGAACGAGTCTGGTGTGTGTGTGAATGGTTGGTAGTGGTCGGAGGGGCCGATGGCACATACTGGTGGCCTCGCTTCTGTCAGTGTGCCCCAGGGCAGCTGTGACTACAGTAGTAGTTTATCACCACCGTGTTTGGAGTGAAAGAATAATAACATGTGAAGCGTCTTTGTGTCCTGAAAAGCGCTGTATAAAACCGATGCATTATTTAATGCTGTACACACATTAGGAAAACTAACAGAAAACACATTAAGTCTAATCTAAATCTAATATTTAATAATACTAATTATTTCTTTCCCAGCTTCATCAACACTGTAGAAGGCATCTTATACCCTGATGGCCTGAACCCGCCCCCGTACTGCCCCGGTCTGGACGCCGAGCCACAAGGACCCCCTGTGGATATCATCACCGTCATCAGCAACCTCCAGAAATCTGCGAATGCTGTCTGAAACTGTCTAAAACTGTCTAAAACTGTTCTGTCTACAACTGTCTGAAACTGTCTCATGTCTGCGCTAATTCTGCCTTAGTCCTTTCTTCTGTCTTTTTTAGGGCATTTTTTTGTTTTTAATGAGTGGGATTTTAATTGCATTACATATGTTTTGGGTTTGCACTTATAATAATGTGTCTCATCATTTTGTACCTGAATTAAAAAGTTTTGTTTATGGTCTGTGTTTTTCTGTGTGTGGTCAATGGTCCTGGTTATATCTATGAATATATCTGTTTTTGTCGCAATGTCGCAATTTTGTCGCAATTTGTAGCAATGTACCACATTTACCCTACTGCAAGTGTTGAGATGCTACGTTCTTTTGTGAGTACATATGTGTGTATAGGCAAGGCAAGTTTATTTGTATAGCTCAGTACACAACTCAAAGTGCTTGACAAAAGAAGATAAAACAATGTATAGGACTACATATATAATGGAACAATATAACATAATATTGTTTACTTACAGACGAATAATAATGCAATGGTTTAAACTAGAGATGCCGTCAAACACATGCACACAGTTAAAGGCCGTTCTATAGCAGAGGGTTTTTAAAAAGAAGTGCTGATCTTAGCCTCATCTCCTCGAGCAGATCATTCCAGAGCCGAAGAACCTGGAATGAGAAGGTTCCATCACCCTCCATCTGTAGCCTCGACCCTGGAACAGCAAACAGGGACCTGGCCGGGGAGCTAAGGCTGCGTTTGGCTAGTAACTAGAGGGTTAAAGTTCAGTACTGTAGCTTGGTGCCAGATCTAAACAAGCTTTAAAGGGGATCAGTAAAACATTCAAATCAATTCTAAAATGCACAGGGAGCCAGTGGAGGGATGCTAACACAGGGGTGATGTGCTCCCTCTCGCTTCATGACCCGCCACAATGATTAAAACTATTTTGAGCTGAATTATGATTTTTCCTAACTTGACCAGCCCTGGATCTAAAAAAAAAAATCTTCTACTTTTAAATCCAGTGAGAAGTCTGGAAAAAAAACTGTATTTACTGGTTCTGTTTCTCTGTAGAAATATACGTTATTACAGGTTAACATAGTTTTTAAAAACAGTTTTTTGTATTTTGTGTGAATCATTTATGTTGTAACAAAAATATCCAGCAGAGGGCAACAGTTGCTTTGTCCTTTGATTCCTGACTGTTATGCTCCCCTCCCCTCTCCTTTCTAGCTCATCTCTGCTTTCTCATTCTTCCGCTCTTCTCTCTCCTCTCCTCTCCCCCCTCTCTCTCTCCTCTCCTCTCTCCTTTCTCGCCTCTCTCCTCTCTCCCCCTCTCTCCTCTCCTTTCTCTCTCCCCTCTCTCCTCTCCCCCCTCTCTCTCCTCTCCTGTCTTCCCTCTCTCCTCTCTCCCGTCCTCTCTCCTCTCCCCCCTCTCTCTCCTCTCTATCCTCTCCTTTCTCCCCTCTCTCCTCTTCTTTCTCGCTCATCTCTCCTTTCTCATCCTTCCTCTCTCCTCTCCTCTCTCCCCCTCTCCCCCCTCTCTCTCCTCCCTCTCCCCCTCCTCCCCCCCTTTCTCTTCTCTCTCTCCCCTCTTATAGAAAGCTGCCCAGACTTCATCTTTCATGAATGAGTCCTGACATGTGGCAGAGAAACAGTCTTCTGTCTTTTGAACACAGCCTAATATTTTACAGTAAGAAAATAAAAGTTTAAGATTGTTTTACCTCAATGAGCAAATTTCTCTTTTCATGTTCAAACCTCACAGATACAGACTCTCAAACTGGCTCAAACACATTATCTATACCTAACAAAAATGACATTGACACAACAATCTGCTAAAGGAGGCCGTAGGTCTGTGTGCAGGGTTTTCTGTATAGTTGAAATGTTGTTCTATTTTTTGCTCTCTCTTTGGTGAAAAACACACACTTCCTCGCTACAACACAAAACCCAGTACTCTAAACCAAATGACCAACTGCCTAAACACATTTATTAAAACTTCCCCCCACTTCTCACACCCGTAAACACAATTCTCCTGTAGACATGTTCACAAAACACATGCCCTTTTTCTCAAAACTCTAAACACATTTTTCTTTTGCTAAAACACATTTTTCCTTTGCTAAAACACATTTTTCCTTTGCTAAAACACTTTTTGCATGTATCTCTGCTCCTATAATCATTGTGAGGCTCATGTGATGAAAAATGTCTCCCACAGTCAGCAAAACCTGAACACAATGAACAGACCTGGTGTCATTCAGAAAACACAACCACTCAGAATTGAAAACACCTGCTGCAAATGATGTGACAACTTTATAAGTCAGTGCAGTTTGATAAAGGTTCAAAATGAAAATGGATAATCAAGGCAGAAGAAGAGGAGTTTGTGTCAGAGGAGGGAGAGGAGCAGGTCAAAGAGGGAGAGGAGCAGGCCGAGGAGGGAGAGGAGCAGGCCGAGGAGGGAGAGGAGCAGGCCGAGGAGGGAGAGGAGCAGGCCGAGGAGGGAGAGAAGGAGGCAGAGGAGGGAGAGGAGGAGGCCAAGGAGGGAGAGGAGCAGGCCGAGGAGGGAGAGAAGGGCGAGCAAGACAACGCATTTCCATTACAGATGAACTAAGAGCAACAGTCATTGACCACGTCATGACAATTGTGTCTAATGGATCCTCTATAGAATTTACAGTACCCATATTTGCATTGAGTTTTGATATAACTGCATTTTCTGTGTTATGTAACTATTTCCATGATACGCGCAAATCTATAGTAAAGGCCACACCAAAACAATTTCTCGTATTCTCAAAACCAACCCATCACAACAAAACAGTTTCTCTAATTCTCAAAACCAACCCATCACACCAAAACACCTCTCATGGTCTGCAAAAATGTGAACACTATGAGCATCATTAACCACATCACCAAAAAAAGTGAAAACACAATTTTCAGAAGGATGCTTTTGAGAAACACTTTTTTAATTCTCAAATGTTTTGGCCATTTTCTATAGATTTGTGCGTTTTATGAGAATATTTACAGTACATAAAGCAGAAAATGCAGTTATATCAAAACTCAATGCAAACATGAGTAACTCCATGAAGGATCCATGACACACAATAGATACTACAGTACAGTAACAATTGAAAACACAATGTTTAGGGCAGTGCTTCTCAAATAGGGGGGGGGGGTGCCAAATAGTTCCTCCCCCCCCCCACTATTTGAGAAGCACTGCCCTAAACATTGTGTTTTCAATTGTTACTGTAGTATCTATTGTGTGTCATGGATTGAGTTGTGATATAACTGCATTTTCTACTTTATGTACTGTAACTATTCTCATGAAACGCACAAATCTATAGAAAAGGCCCAAAACATTTGAGAATTAAAAAAGTGTTGCTCAAATGCATCCTGGCAGGCAATTGTTTTGGTGATGTGGTTAATGATGCTCATAGTGTTCACATTTTTGCAGACCATGAGAGGTGTTTTGGTGTGATGGGTTGGTTTTGAGAATATGAGTCACTGTTTTGGTGTGATGGGTTGGTTTTGAGAATATGAGTCACTGTTTTGGTGTGATGGGTTGGTTTTGAAAAGAGACTGTGTTGTTTTGTGTACGTAGCTTTAGAAAAGAGGTTTGTGTTTAGAGTTTTGAGAAAAGGGAGGGCAGTATCGTGAAATGTGTTTAAGCGATAGAGGAAAACTGTAAATACAGTTGGTGCCTTCGCTTTAGTCTTTCTTTTGACTGAATATTTTTTAGATTCTTGGATCATTTGAACAGTTGAAAAACATATATTAAAGTACATTACATTTTGTATTAGAGGTGTGAAACGCAGAACCCACCAGACCATTTTCAGTGGCTCCTGAAATTATTATAAATGACGATGATTAACTTTAGTATCGATGGTGTTAACAAGATTGATATTATTTTGATTCACTGTTTTGTGTTGGTCATGACATCAGCAAAAGGAAGAGGCAGAAGCTTTGAGACTATTGTACAGCATCAGTTTAACCAGATGTTAGGGTTTAGAAGAGCTGCCGTGGCGTGTTAGACCTCCATGAGACTAGATATGGGGAGGCAGCATTCAGGACCTATGCACCTTACATCTGGAACAGTCTTCCTGAAGGTGTGAGACAGGCTGCTTCAAGTCATAGCTGTAAACGGTTCTTTTCTTCTTCTTTTTATTGTCTTTTGTTTGTATCGTAATATTGTATTGTCTTTTGTATGTGTTTTTTAAATGTTTATTAAATGATGTCAATGTGAAGCACTTTGGGTTCTGTATGAACTGTGCTATAGTTATTCGATTGACTTTAAAGTTAAATTAAAAAATTAAAAAAACTGCAAAAATGAGACGTCTCAGAACATAACACTTGATGATGTGGATGTGTAAACTATGATGTGATGTTTGGGGGAGGAAGAGGAGTGAGGAAATAGGAGTCAGGATCAGCTGGTGGGGATGTGTAACCTCTTGACTTATGAGGAAATTAAAAAAAAAGAAGATATAATATTGATATTGAGTTTTATACAGCGCTTTTGCTCGACAGAAAACCATCAAAGACACTTCTCATTTAATTTTTCCTTTACTCCAAACACAGTGGTGATAATCTACTGTAGCCACCGCTGCCCTGGGGCACACTGACAGAGCGGAGGCAACCAGTCTGTGCCATCAGCCCCTCCCACCACCACCAACCATCCACACACACACCAGACTCATTCTAGGTAATGTGGGTGAAGTGTCTTGCCTAAGGACACAACCACAGTTTGGCACTTACCAGCAGCAAACCATAAACCCACACTGTTTACTGGACTACTTTTTACTCAAAAGTGGTACTGCAGCTTCTCCTACTCTCCCTGACTCAGGTTGCCAGATATGCAGTGAATCCAGCTGGGACCATAACAGCTGAATAGACAAGAGTTTTGTCAACAACATAGACCTTTGTCACAAAGATAAAAATCCTGGTTATTTTCCTCGTTTTGTTGTTAATGATTTTAGAATCATAACAAGACCTTTTTTAGTTCTGCGCCACATGGTACTTTACCAGTGAGATTAGCTCCACGTGGTGAGTTTTGGCGCCCGGATCACAGACTTTCTGATTGGTAAAACGGTGGAGGGCGGGACATCGAGATTAAAACAATAACAAGATTTGGGGGATGGAAAAGTAATTTATAAATTCAAATATCTCTGAACTACTGTTACCAGTTAAAGAAGTATTGGAAAAGAGCATGTTTTATTGATGCTTTTTGACAGATTAGAGCCCTTTAATGATGACTTGACATGAAAATCTCACATATTGCTGCTTAGGCCTGACATGTAAAATTTTCACCACACCACGGCTGCTTCTGTCGCTCTCCGCTCTTCTTTTCTCTAACCACCAGTGGGCTAACCACTCTCCCAGCCGTCCTTGATAATGTGACTAATAATTGGTTATTTAGTCATGGTGGATTTGACAGTCGGGCTCAGGGTGCTTATGTCACTCAAATTCAGAGACAAGGAAACTTATTCTGGCATCGACCACAGAGCATTTTAGTAGAAAGAGAGAAAACATGTAGTAAATAAAATAGTAGTGTAGGGCTTAAATTAAATTAAATTAAATCCCTATTTGATGGCCTTGTGGGATTCAGAGACTGACCCAAGCTGAGGCAGTAGCTGCAGCAAAAGTGGGAATTGGAAGGAAGCTCTGACGAAGGGTGTGGAATCCTAGTGTTAGCTGCATCTTTTTCCATTTCACAGTTGTGTGTTCTTATGTGTTTCTCTCACGTGTAGAAAGCCCACCTCAGCTGACTGGAGAATTCTCTTTCGTAAGTCTCACTCAACATGCACCTAAACACCTTATACAATATTGTAAAATCACATTATCATGACATCAAATACACATGTCTTCTGATCAGCTGTGTTGTGTTTGTTTAGTACATGCCGAGTCTAAATGTCACGATGGTTGGATCACACGTGTATGACGCCGTGGAGCAGCGCATTCGCCTGCGCATGGACGTCAGGCTCGGCGACTTCTCCTTCCCTTGGGACTTACTACTGCTGCACAAAGAGGTAGGAGTCACTCTCTCTTATGGCAGAGGTGTCAAACTAAGTTTGGTCAGGGGCTGAATTTAAAAACATAAGAGGCCACAAGTATAAAAGTGGTTAGGGTTAGGGTTAGGTTGGATTCAACCCCAACTGGGCCAATTAACATGGGTGACATACTGACACCCATCAATGCTGGAAGTTACTGTATAATGATAATTGAAAATCTGTTCAGGGGTCGCTAAAATTGTTCTTGCGGACCGGATTTGGCCGACGGGCCTGAGTTTGACATGCCTATTGGTAACACTCTGGATTAGAGCTCGCTCAGCAACAGCCAATTAATGCTGATTAGTGTTCCCTAATCCTAACCTAGACATTTATGGAGATTGGTCTCTGCTCGTTATGGTCCAATGGCTCTGTGTAATTTTATTGTTGCATTTCTTGTGTTTAAACAGTTTGATTCTCTGATGTGTGTTGGCAAATTCAACGGTTACTACTGCTGTGATTTAAGGCTGTACAAGTGGGGCGGCTGCGGCTGTGGCTGTAAAGTGCCAAACTGTTGTTGTGCCCTTAGGCAAGACACTTGCCTAGAATGACTCTAGTGTAGTATAGTGCGTGTGTGAATTGTTAGTGGTGGTCGGAGGACACAGTTTGTGCCTTGCGTCTGTCAGTGTGTCCCAGGGCAGCTGTGGCTACAGTAGTAGTTTATCACCACCGTGAATAATGACATGTGAAGCGTCTTGGAGTGTCCAAAAAAGCACAGTATAAATCTGATGCATTATGATTATTATTATTGATTTACAGAGATAACTATTACAGAGGTAACTGTTTCTATGGTAACTTCCTCCACTAGCAGGGCGCTAACTTTTACAGCGTCTACTGTTGTGTTTCTGCTTCAGGGCGCGATGTACCAGATCGATGCTAAGGCCTCCACATGTGTCAAGAGCTCGCTGGAGCAAGACTTCCAGCCACTGAGTGTGCCCCCTGATGCCGCCTCAGTTGGTAGAGCAATGGCCTTTGACCCTGAAGGTTGTGGGTTTGAGCCCACTACGAGACCTACTTCATCAACTTCCACTGATGTCCGCTGTTGTTGTGTCCTTGGGCAAGACACTTAACCCCACTTTGTCTGAGGCCCCCACTGAAAGATCCCTGTCTGTGCCTACAGGCTGGTTGGCACCTCTCATCTGTCAGTGTGCCCCAGGGCAGCTGTGGCAACAGTAGTAGTTTATCTCCTCTGTGTTTGGTGTGAATGAATAATGAATAATGATCGGGGACTCCTCTGAGCCAGGGCAGGGACTGCGGGTCAACACCTGGGTGGGAGAGACACCAGGTTAGTACAGCCTGGATCTTTCTAGTTTGACAGGAAACCAAAGCTCTGTTTCCACCAGCACTATTTGGCTCTACTCTACTCAACTCGGCTCTACTCTACCCCTGTTGGAAGCATTTCCACTGGCACCAGGTAATTTTTAGAACCTGCTCGGCCCTGCTTCTATCCAGGCTGTTGTGGAAGTGTTCAGAGATATAGGCTTGAGGGCAGCTGGAAGCCAAGATGATCTACCTACCTACGTACCTATCTAAGTGTCTGTCTGTCTGTCTGTCTGTCTGTCTATGTACTGTATGTATCTACAAACCAATCTGTATATATCTATCGATCTATCTATGTATCGACCTATGTATGTATGTAACGACCTATGTATGTACTGTATGTATGTATCTACCTATCTATCTATCTCTATCTACCAACAATCAACCTACCAACCGATGTATGTATCTATCCATCTATGTATCAATTTACAGTATGTATCCATCTTAAAGCATGTAACTGTGTCTGTGCAGCCCCATACACGATGACAGTGACAGAGTCCGGCTGTATCCCTGTGAGCTACGAGATCCATACTGAATTATTTGGCTGTTTCTTCGGGAGGTGAGAAAACTTTGGCGCAATCTTTGCCTTCGACCTTTGCATTTGAGGAACACCGAGCGAACAAACACCACCCACACAACGTCTATCATTTCTCTCTTTTCTTTCTCAGGTTTTACAACAACGTGAGAAATGTGGTAGACCCTGACGCTCTCAAGCCTCCTCCGTACTGTCCCGGTCCAGGAGTCAAGACACAGGGACCCCCAGTGGATTTCCTCAGCCTCCTGAACAGAGCTGCTAAGTAGCTGTCTGCGCTAACTCAGCCAGTCCATGTTTAGGGCTTTTTAAAACTAATCCGGCGATATGTATGTTGAAATTGATCTTCCATCCATCCATCCATTTTCTTCCCCTTAATCCATTTCTGGGTCGGGGGGGTGGCCAGAGATGCCACCCAGTACACAGAGCACCAGCCTAGAAATTATTATTAGATTATTGGTTGAAATTGATCTTGCCAACCAATAATCAATTTTGTGCCTTTGTATCTGAATTAAAATATGCTTTGATGGTGATGGTCTATCTCTCTCTTTGTGTGGTAACAACAGTGCTGGGTTTGTTATTATAAATACACCTTGTACAATGTTTACAACCATAAACAAAGATTAGATTTGTTTTATTTACTGACGGTTCCACCACAAGTATGAGCTGAGTGGTCTGGTGCAGGTTATGCCTCCAGTCCTACGTTCAATACTACACACACTTCCTCTTAAATATATCTCACACTTGAATGCAGAGAGTGGCCGCCCAACCGCAGACTATTGCAACAACACAAAATAGCTGATCTCTCACAACAACTTTTGTCACGCCACTAAAGTGAAGAATTGTAAGCAGTCTCTCATTCAGGTGTCAAAGTCAAGGCCCGGGGCAAATGAATGATCTTGGTCCCGCGATGATGTTTGATTAGTTTTAGAACCACAGAGACAAAAAAGAATATAGGATTATTCATTTAATGTTCAGGACGTGTGTTTTCTCTTTGAAGGAAGTTTTTGTCTGTGAGCCTGTTACTGACAGAGCCGTACAACGATATTGGATAATTCTTTTAAAAATGAATTAAACTATGGTACACTGTGTAAGGGTTTGGTTCAATAGGTTTTATGCATCATTTTAATGTGTTTTAATGAACATTAAACCAGTCCGGCGTCGATTGAGGCAATTTAGTTTTTTTGCCTCTGATGTATTTGACTTGGGGGCGACAGTGGCTCAGTTGGTAGAGCAATGGCCTTTGACCCTGAAGGTTGTGGGTATGAGCCCACTACGAGACCTACTTCATCAACTTCCACTGATGTCTGCTGTTGTTGTGTCCTTGGCCAAGACACTTAACCCCACTTTGTCTGAGGCCCCCACTGAAAGATCCCTGTCTGTGCCTACAGGCTGGTTGGCACCTCTCATCTGTCAGTGTGCCCCAGGGCAGCCGTGGCAACAGTAGTGGTTTATCTCCTCTGTGTTTGGTGTGTATGAATAATGACGCGTGAAGCGTCTTTGAGTGTCCAAAAAAGCGCTGTATAAAACGTTGGTATTTTGTCACCTCTATTTCCCCCTTCACTCCCAGTGAGAAACACACACTTCCCCTTTAATTATTCCCCACTTGAATACAGTTAACCACAAGCCATTCTAAATTTTGAACTGACTTTTGTTCTAGGTTTTCAGATGATGGTCACAAAAATTAACATACAGGTGATAAAAATAATAATAATAATAATAATGATAATGATAATATAGACTTTATGCATCCTTACTTGACAGTTTGATTGTTGATTCTGTGACTGTGTGGTTTGGTGACATCACAGACTAAATAAGGAGACCAGAGAGGCAGAACAGAGAGAGACCGAAGTGAGACCGGAGAGAAACCAGAGAGACACCAGAGAGAGAGAGAGCAGAGAGAGAAAGACCAGAGAGAGAGAGGAGAAAGACCAGAGAGAGAGAGCAGAGAGAGAGTCCAGAGAGAGAGAGCAGAGAGAGAGTCCAGAGAGAGAGACCAGAGAGGGAGACCAGAGAGAGAGTCCAGAGAGAGGGCTCCTCTCTGAAAGAGGACTGTGGCTTCTCTGTTCCAGAGTTTCTTTATAACCCTTAAACATGGAAAAGCCATGTTCCAGCTTCTTCCCTCTGGCAGAAGGGTCGTTCACTGAGATGCAGGACATCCGGATATGCGAACAGTTTCTGGACAATTTGATCTTTCACTTGATATTGACCTGTTTTTGTTGATTATTTTCCTGTTGATTCGTTTTAGATTGTTTTATTTATGTACTTGTCTGGTGAACATTTTACTCTATGGAAAAAGGGGATGAAAAAAATTCAAGGAATGAAACTGGAGCACCTGGAGGAAACCTACGCAGACAGAGACTGTTATTACTTTTGCTGATACAACTCAAACCATCACAAACTGAACCAAACAAGTGTGTATTTTATTCACAGGTTAAACAGAAAAACAGGCAAATGACAAGAATAATAATTTTGTTTATTTTTTGTCTTTTTTTACGGTCACCTGTCGGAAGCATCAAGCATTCATTATCTTTAGATTACATTGAAGCGTGAATTCTGAACTAAACTTTACTACAAAGCTGGCAGCCTTTGCATTAAAAGGGGTAAAGGCAAGTTTATATTTATAGCACAGTTCATAGACAAAGCAACTCAAAGGACTGAACAAAATGAGACAAGATGATAATAAATGATAAAAACAGAACTACTTTTCACCTTTAATCTGTTTTTAACTATGTTAAATTTTCTATTTAACAATCTATTTTTAACTATGGGGCGGCAGTAGCTCAGTTGGTAGAGCGTTGGCCTTTGAGCCAGAAGGTCGTGGGTTCAAGCCCCGCTCAGGACTTTCACCATCGACTCCCACTGACTACTGTCTTTGTGTCCTTGGCAAGACACTTAACCTGTGGGAACACCAGCCACAGTGGGGCGGCTGCGGCTGTAAAGTGCCAAACTGCCGTTGTGTCCTTAGGCAAGACACTTCACCCCCATTGCCTAGAATGAGTCTAGTGTGTGTGTGAATGGTTGGTGGTGGTCGGAGGGGCCGATGGCACATACTGGTTGCCTCGCTTCTGTCAGTGTGCCCCAGGGCAGCTGTGGCTACAGTAGTAATTTATCACCACCGTGTATGGAGTGAATGAATAATGACACATGTGAAGCGTCTTTGAGTGTCCAGAAAAAGCGCTATATAAAACCGATGCATTATTATTATTATTATTATTATTATGTCAAAGAAGAATGTCTCATATTTTCATGAAGACTGTTTCAGGCTTTTGTCCGAAGTCAGGACTCAAGCTGCAGAGTTGTAAATATATTACAACGGTTTTACAGCGCGGTTGGAGGGACCAGGGAGCAGCCATTACAGTAATCTAACAAACCGGAAACAAATGTATGGATTTATGTTTTTAATCTTGACAATGTTTTTTTTAGAAAGTTTAAAGCTGCTAGTATTAGTGATGCGGCTAAAATGTAAGGTTTCTGTCCAAATTTGAAGGTTTCAGTGAGAGGGATAGATGAGTGTTTCTATTTTGTTTTTGAGTTGCTTGTGTATGAACTGTTTATACAAATAAACTTGTCTTGTCCAAGTTTGGGTCAGTCAGCCTTGCAGTTCAGTTTGCTCAACTTATCTGCATTCTTGAGGACAAAGATTGTTTTACAGTCTTTGAACTCTTTGTATGATTTCTCCGCTATATCTATCACTTTGAACTTCTCATACGGTGGAATGAGCACTTCGCTCTCGCCCAGACGAGAATAGTTTTCGATGTTTGCGCCGTAGCAGGTCTCGATGTAAAAGCAGCTCTCTCTTCCAAATGTGATCAGATTCGGGTCAGTGCTGGAGGACGCAAAAGAACCAAAGCGCATCTCTTGGTTGACTTTACCTGTAATTTTGACTTTGGTTCTCCTGTATGTTGTGTGGCACTGCTTGTTTGGGTTTAGGCTCTGTAAGGCGGTAGTGAGCCAAAAGTGTAGAGAGTGGTAGTCGTAGTTTATGGTACCATAGATCTTGGCTCCGTCTCGGTCGATGGTGTTGAAAGGTTCGTAGACATCAGAATCAGAATCAGAATCAGAATCATTTTTATTGCCACGTGAGTAACAAAGTTATCACTTGGAAATTGTCTTGGCAGAGAGCGTGCCACTTCGCCATTTGCGGCGCTGTGTGCAGCAAGAAACAGCAGAGAGCAATAACATACAGTTCACAGACAATTGGATAGACACATTGTGCTTTTTATAAACCACGGATTTTTTTCTCGGGATGAGCACCTCCGGCGGCCGGCCCAATGTAGCTGTCAGAGGGGGGCGGGATCAGGGAGGGGGTGAGTAGGAAAACAATGAGGAATGGAGGGGAGGGAGGGAGCAAGATGGATAGGTAGAGGGAGGCGGGGGTGAGGGATCCGAGCTGGACACTGAAATAGTGTGAGTTGTTGTAGATTGTGGGACCTTGTTTATGGCCTTGGCCGAGGAATGTGAGATAAGAGTGGAGAGAAGACACAGCAGGAGAAAAACACATCGCCTGAGAGGGACAATATTATATGCAATGTCGCAGTCAAAAGCAGGCAGATATTCTATTAATTCCAATTAAACCGAATTACGGCGCCCTCAGACCTCCGTACACAGGGGCAAATCCAAGCCGGGTCAGAGAGTTCAAGCCTGACAAACAATGTCATTCAATCTCAATTCCAGAGTTTTATGCCCATCGAGTGAACGAGCTGCGAGATCTTTGATCAACTGTTCCACCAAAACCACCCTTCTTTGTCCAGACACGGCACTCTCAACCACGACACGGCTTAGCTCCTTGTACATCCCATCAATTTTGTCGGCCAGCAGGTCGTGAATCTTGCGAACTGCCATGCCACCGAATTTGTGGTAGAAGAGGATCGCTCCAAACCCAAACAGGAGGATTCCCACCACCAAAATGCCAAAGATATATACGTCTTCCGAATCTTCAATGGACAGGGTCGACAGACAGAGGGGCTGAAACTTGTTCCAGCTGTCAAGAGTATACCCCGCCGGTGAAGTCCCGTCCGGGCACACGGGCTCTCCAGACCCACGCTTACGTGTTGAAAAGATAGAATCAATTGCGTTGAGGGACCAATTTACCATTTCCATTCTGTTAAAGTTGTCTGTGGCAAAACTCCAGGAAAAAAGACAAAAACAGGAGATAGCAAGCCGTTCAGAAGCAGGAGCGGACTAAGACACGTCTTTGCTCGACGGAGGAGGAAGTGAGAAATTAGAGACATTAGGAAACTGTTGTGAGTACGTATAGATGGCTTGACATTGGTCGAGGGTTAATATCTTAGTTGGTTGCTGATCATACTTTCTTTTGGCAGGACTTTTGGCCAGATTCCAACCATCCTTAAACGGCTGCTTCTTGTTCTCTCTGGGGAAGTACACTTTCTCGACTTTTTCCTTCATTCTGGACTCACAGTTGCCGTACATGTCGTCAATCGATTGCTCCATCAAACTCAGCCTGATTTGTCCGGAAACCTGGAAACATTTTGAAAATAATCGATAAGATAATTAATATATAAAATGAAGTAAAATAATAAAAAAGTAAAAATAAATAGATAAAGGTCCAGGATGTAACTTCTTTTGATGTCAAATCCGTGGAATCATTACTATAGCTGCTGTGTCACGGTCTTGACGATGCCTCCACATATTGGGGGTAGGAAGATATTAAAGTACTGAGTAACTAAAAACTTAAGATCATCGTTTTTTTTTTCTGCGTTGCGTCAAACTAATTTTGGTCGAGGACCGATTGTACACAAAAACCTCTGGCCAGGAGCAAAAGTGTTTTCTCTGATCCTTGTTGGTGAATTCAGTGGTTTTGTAAAGTCCTGGATAATTACTCTTAAAGCCTTTTTCTTACTGATATACGTGGCTCAAAACCTCTCACCGTATTAAAAGATGGCAGCACCAGACACAGCATCACCAGCAGCATTTTGAACTTCATGTCTATGGACTGACACATGAAACGAAGAGTTAACCCTTTAAGCGCCAAAGTCGCAATATTGCGACAAGCAACATTGCTCACTTAAACAGGCTGTATCTAAAAATGTGGTGCAGAATCTTGTTAATACTTTTCACCAGGGGTTAGTGGACATGTGTGCCTGTAATATGAGCAGCATTTGTGAGTGTGGTTATATTGAAAGTTTTTGAGTAAATTGAGTTCGTAAAACACCTGCGGCGCAGCAGCGCGGAGGCGAAGCAGCAGCGGTAGAGCTGAGAGGAGCGAGAGCAGAGCAGAGGGAGAGAGTGTTTTTTTATTTACTCACGAGGTCTTCAGTACCAGAGAAGTACTTGGTATGGTACTGGCTCACTCAGATTCAGAGGAGGAAGACACGCAGGTGTCCAGTGAAGCAGACTCGGGCATTATTGGTGACGAGGAGACCGCGCTCCATAGTCCACAATCAGCCCCTGTACAGCGGCTGCTTGTCCTCCGTGTGGCCGCGGTAGAAGCATTCTGTGAACGCCAAGCAGGGGCCGTGGTCGAGGGGACAGGGGCATCATAACACCGGGCATGTGGGAGAAAGTAGCCGGGGTAGACATCCGCGGGGAGACGCGGGAGAAGTCGCGGGGGAGCCGCGGGAAAAAGCACATCGCTTATCGCGTTTACTGCCTTTACCAACAGCGATGATGAGGATGAAGGCAGTTCTTGAGAGAAAATAATCCACAAAAGTGGACCAGAAGTGTTGAAAAACCTGTTGTTTATTGTTGAGACGATGATGTTCTGTGCCCATTCATTTCATCTCTCTGTTTCTACACGATAAATCCTGGAGCCTCATTTCCACTGAGAAAAATAGTATGCCCACTACTTCTTAGAAAGGGAAATATTGAAACCAATCTCCAGATTTCATGACTGTAAACTATAAAGAGTGCAGTCTTGATCACTGAAGGTCTTTGAAAATAATAAAATTCCATATGGCTGCGAACCAGTGCTAAAACATTATGTATAATCTGGATCAGGGAATTTATTTCTATCCCAAATTCATTTCATACTAAAGATATATTTCACATTTACTGTTTATAGTATTCCCTGATCTCAAATAACTCCCAAGCTACAGCTTTTTGAAGTCTTTATACAATAATTAACATTTTCCAAAATGGCCGCCACCTTGATGACGTCAGAATATGAAAATTAGATGACGAATCAACTTCCATCCCAAAGTTTGGTTCAGACTGAAGATATTTCTAATTTACAGTATGCCTTTATCTCAAACCATTTTAAAGTTATAGCCTTTTGAAATCTTGAAATCAAAATTGTACATTTTCTTGAAAAAACTCTGGCGCCTAAAGGGTTAAAACATGAATGTGCAGACGATTTCAAAGACGGATCTTACCAAAGTCAGGTGCAGGGTCGGTGTGAAGTTTGCGGCTCACTCCTCTCCTATATAGCACTTCAGAAATACCTCCCATTTCCTTGTAGCATTGACCACGAACTGAATGACATCAAATACACATAAGTATTAGTTCCTTTACCAACGTCAAGAGTTTAATTATAAACTTTGTCTTGGTTAATGTTTGGTGGATGTGATTCCTTATTAAATAATGGAGACTGCGAGGTGCCCAGAGTCAGGACTAAACATGAAGAGGATGCAGAAACTTCTAGCAAACATATGTACATTTATCACGTCTGAAGGCAGTTTACATCTCTTGAAGCAGTTCTGGAAAGGATTATTGCCTCAAGTGAACCAGACTTGGTCTAGTTTAAGTGAATCGGACTATGTGGGAATGAGCCATGAGTGTGATTGATTTTATAAAAAACTATTTTCACTTGTGATTTTTGTTTTCCATGTCCCTTTTTTTGACAATCTTAGATCAATCTAAGACCCACAGGGGGACCCCACAAATTTTTGATCGGGAAACAGAATTGCAGAGTACAGCTCGTCATGAAGCAGAAATGTGTAACTAATGTGAAAGAACAGACAAAAGACAAGTTAAATAATGCATATTTTTTGTCTTTTAATAGTCACATGTCGCAAGCATCAAGCATTTCAGCATTACTTTTTGTTTACATTGAAACAAACCGTACTAAACTTTTCTACAAAGCCAATAGCTGTTGAATTAAAAGGGAAAAGGCTGTCACTTTGCAGCCTTACAGTTGAGGTTAGTCTTCCGCCCTGCGTTCTTCAGGACAAAGATTTGGTTGCATTGGGTCAGTTTTCCGTAGGAACCATTAACAGTTTTCATTATTTTGAAGGTTTCATAGGGAGGAACAAGCACTTCACGCTCACTAAAGGGTGAGTATTTCTTAATGTATGCACCCAAGCAGGTCCTGATCTGGAAGCAAGTCTTATTACCAAAGCCGGTCAGATTGGGAAATTTGGAAGTGGAAGTGAAAGAACCAAAGCGAATGACTTGGTTGACTTTCCCTGTGAAAGTGACGTTCACTCTTCTGAAAGTGTCACGGCACACTTTGTCAATTCTCAAAGTCTCCAGAGCAGAAACCAGCCAGTAGTATAAAGCGTGGTATTGGAAGGCCTGGGTGGTGTATTGGGGTCCACTGGTTCGGAGCGCGTTGTTGAGTGGTGCGTAGACATTGGGTTCGTTCACGGTGTAGACGCACAAGGCCTGGATCTGGTCTTTGGACAGATTGTGTACACTCTGATTGTTTTGTGTTGCACAGGTTTCTGCCTTCTTCCAAGCCTTTCTGAACAAAGGATTACTCTTCATCTCGCGGGGGAAGTATTCACTCTTGACTATTTTGGCCATTTTCTCGCTGCAGCCGTCGAACATGTCGTCCACCGAGTTTTCCATCATGCTCAGAGGAATGGGTTGAGCCTGGAACTCCTACATATTTAGAGTTTAGAGTCAGTTTTATTACATACTGTAGTGCTGTCTGTATAACTTTCCCTGAAGAAAATATTGACAACAAATAGTTATGATCTATTTACCCGTTTAAAGCAAGATTTTATCTCCAAAATGACAATTAAGAATGGTATGTAGATAATGAGGCACTTCAGTTACTACCAACGTAAACTAACAGAAACTCTGAGGAGCACAGGGACTGGCCTCCTGCTGGGACTCTAAGGAGCACAGGGACTGGCCTCTTGCATTGCACTGTATGAATCAGGCTAAAGGCTTCGATCAAAGTTGTCATTTGTCGCTTCTTTTTTTGCCTTCTCTTAGCCTTCCTCTTAAATGATCTCACACTTGAATGCAGTTAGTGACCACAGAACCAGACTGTCCTCACGAATGCAACAACACATTAACTATGAGTCGTTGCATTCAAGACCAGGCTTAAAACAGTCCTCTTTAATTCTTTAAGACTCAGGTACAACTTAAAAATACAACCGTACGTCTAAAAAACACAGATTGTCAGTGACGCTGCATATGGAGTCAGTTTACTGGGAGAAGTATGCGAACTTGAGCACTATCCTCTCCTCCTTCCTACTGTATCTGTCACCATTATGACTTCAGCTGTAGTCTGTTCATTGCTATTCACCCGCTGTCCTATTGTCAGTTTCCCGGCCTACTCCTTCGGCACCTGCGGACTGTTCTCCTCGGGTCTACAGCCCGTCCATCCGTGTGATTGTTTCTAGCTTGTCTTTGAGTTTCCTTGTGCATATACTGTGCTATACATATAAACGTGCCTTGCCTTTTAAGAGTACTTCTGAACACATGTTTTTACATTATGGGTATTTATGCCCTAAGCACTGATTTACGTGGCTCAAAACCTCTCACCATAAAAAGAGAAGGCTGCACCAGACACAGCATCACCAGCAGCATTTTGAACTTCATGTTTGTGGACTGAAACATGAAACGAAGAGTTAAAACATGAATGTGCAGAAGAGTTTAAAGACGGATCTTACCAAAGTCAGGTGCAGGGTCGGTGTGAAGTTTGCGGCTCACTCCTCTCGTATATATAGCACTTCAGAAATACCTCGCATTTCCTTGTAGCATTGACCACGAACTGAATGACATCACATACACATAAGTATTAGTTCCTTTACCAACGTCAGGAGTTTAATTATAAACTTTGTCTTGGTTAATGTTTGGTGGATGTGATTCCTTATTAAATAATGGAGACTGCAGGTGCCCAGAGTCAGGACTAAACATGAAGAGGATGCAGAAACTTCTAGCAAACATATGTACATTTATCATGTCTGAAGGCAGTTTACATCTCTTGAAGCAGTTCTGGAAAGGATTATTGCCTCAAGTGAACGAGACTTGGTCCAGTTTAAGTGAATCGGACCATGTGGGAATGAGCCATGAGTGTGATTGATTTTATAAAAAACTATTTTCACTCGTGATTTTGTTTGTCTCATTTAAAAAATATGATTTGTATGAATTAGCTTGACAGTTTTTATTTGAGACGTGCATCCATTTGTATGTGATGACTCAAGCATGAATGGGACTAAGTTTATAGAATGACATCAGAGTCTAAGTAGTTCATTTGACTGACAGAAGAAGAAATGATAATGTTATAAAACAGCAGAGAATTGTAACTGATACATGTCCAAAAGCATTTGTAAAGTGTTTGAAGGAGAAACTGCTGCGATGTCACACATGACTCAGTGTTGTGGAGGTTGAACTAATAGTTTAGAGAACTTTAAGTCTGATCTGAAAATTGCAACAAAGTGACTGCGAAAAACTGTAATACACCTTGAACAGTTCCCTTCAAATCATTTAAGGTCTACAAAAAATCAACAAAATATATAATTCTGTTTGAATTTTGATGTCCCTTTTTTTGACAATCTTAGATCAATCTAAGACCCACAGGGGACCCCACAAATTTTTGATCGGGAAACAGAATTGCAGAGTACAGCTCGTCATGAAGCAGAAATGTGTAACTAATGTGAGAGAACAGACAAAAGACAAGTTAAATAATGCATATTTTTTGTCTTTTAATAGTCACATGTCAAGCATCAAGCATTTCAGCATTACTTTTTGTTTACATTGAAACAAACCGTACTAAACTTTTCTACAAAGCCAATAGCTGTTGAATTAAAAGGGAAAAGGCTGTCACTTTGCAGCCTTAGCCTTAAGTTGAGGTTAGTCTTCCGCCCTGCGTTCTTCAGGACAAAGATTTGGTTGCATTGGGTCAGTTTTCCGTAGGAACCATTAACAGTTTTCATTATTTTGAAGGTTTCATAGGGAGGAACTAGCACTTCACGCTCACTAAAGGGTGAGTATTTCTTAATGTATGCACCCAAGCAGGTCCTGATCTGGAAGCAAGTCTTATTACCAAAGCCGGTCAGATTGGGAAATTTGGAAGTGGAAGTGAAAGAACCAAAGCGAATGACTTGGTTGACTTTCCCTGTGAAAGTGACGTTCACTCTTCTGAAAGTGTCACGGCACACTTTGTCAATTCTCAAAGTCTCCAGAGCAGAAACCAGCCAGTAGTATAAAGCGTGGTATTGGAAGGCCTGGGTGGTGTATTGGGGTCCACTGGTTCGGAGCGCTTCGTTGAGTGGTGTGTAGACATTGGGTTCGTCCGCGGTGTAGACGCACAAGGCCTGGATCTGGTCTTTGGACAGATTGTGTACACTCTGATTGTTTTGTGTTGCACAGGATTTTGCCTTCTTCCAAGCCTTTCTGAACAAAGGATTACTCTTCATCTCGCGGGGGAAGTATTCACTCTTGACTATTTTGGCCATTTTCTCGCTGCAGCCGTCGAACATGTCGTCCACCGAGTTTTCCATCATGCTCAGAGGAATGGGTTGAGCCTGGAACTCCTACATATTTAGAGTTTAGAGTCAGTTTTATTACATACTGTAGTGCTGTCTGTATAACTTTCCCTGACGAAAATATTGACAACAAATAGTTATGATCTATTTACCTGTTTAAGGCAAGATTGTATCTCCAAAATGACAATTAAGAATGGTATGTAGATAATGAGGCACTTCAGTTACCACCAATGTAAACCAACACAAACTCTGAGGAGCACAGGGACAGGCCTCCTGTTGGGACTTTGAGGAGCACAGGGACTGGCCTCCTGTTGGGACTTTGAGGAGCACAGGGACTGGCCTCCTGCTGGGACTTTGAGGAGCACAGGGACTGGCCTCTTGCACTGCACTGTGTGAATCAGGCCAAAGGCTTTTGTCGCTTCTTTTTTTGCCTTCTCTTTGGTGAGAAACACAGCCTTCCTCTTAAATGATCTCACACTTGAATGCAGTTAGTGACCACAGAACCAGACTGTCCTCACGAATGCAACAACACATTAACTATGAGTTGTTGCATTCAAGACCAGGCTTAAAACAGTCCTCTTTAATTCTTTAAGACTCAGGTACAACTTAAAAATACAACCTTAAGTCTGAAAAACACAGATAGTCAGTTTACTGGGAGAAGTATGCAAACTTGAGCACTATCCTCTCCTCCTTCCTACTGTATCTGTCACCATTTTGACTTCAGCTGTGGTCTGTTCATTGCTATTCACCCACTGTCCCATTGTCTGTTTCCCGGCCTACTCCTTCGGCACCTGCGGACTGTTCTCCTCGGGTCTACAGCCCGTCCATCCGTGTGATTGTTTCTAGCATGTCTTGTTAAGCACTTTGAGTTTCCTTGTGCATGCACTGTGCTAACAAATAAACTTGCCTTTAAATATTCCTTCTGAACACACGTTTTTACATTATGGATATTTATGCCCTAAGCACTGATATACTCACCATAATAAGAGAAGGCAGCACCAGACACAGCATCACCAGCAACATTTTGAACGTCATATTTGTGGACTGACACATGAAACGAAGAGTTAAAACATGAATGTGCAGAAGTATTCAAAGACGGATCTTACCAAAGTCAGGTGCAGGGTCGGTGTGAAGTTTGTGGCTTAGTCTTCTCTTATATTATTGCACTTCAGAAACACCTCGCATTTCCTTGTAGCATTGACCACAAACTGACATCACATAAGTATTAGTTAGTTAGTTATTTTTATTTGAGCAACCTTAGTATGAACATGTTACATACATACATACACATATAGACAGAATAATGATTTAAAGAATAAGCACATACATCAATCAGTACTGAGTGCTTGAAAGTGCTCAAAAAGGAGTAGGATGAAGTGGGGACTTATTAACTCCTACCCCTTTCTCCTTTCAGTGTATTGTGTGACAGCTGTTGGTGCTTCTATATGTTAAGTATAATTATTTAGTTCCTTTACCAACATCAGGTGTTAGAATATAGCTTTGTCTTGGTTAATGTTTGGTGGATGGAATTACTTATGGATTCAATAATGGAGTCAGGAACACCGATGGCTTTTACGCAACTAAAATCTTGAAAATCTTGAAAGTCTTCTTGAGAGACAGTCTTCGACTCTGACAATGCTCAAATCCAGGTTCAAATCAGTTTTAGTTTGCTGTGGATACAACTGAAGGATCGCATCTTTTGAATATACTGTGATTATTTATTATTTTACTGCGGGGGTGTCAAACTTATTTTGGTTGAGGGCCCAATAAAAAATAAACGGTCTGGTCAGGGGCCGAAAGAATAAGTGGGTTTCATGTATTCATTTTTTTGGAATATGAAGGTATCTAAATAAATGACTTGTTTGATCCCAATTGTCCATCATTCTGGTGATTTGTGCTCGACAAATAAGACCAAAGGGTTTTGTTCAATAAGTGGAGAGGGCGGTTCTTTCCTAAGAAAATTGTGAAATCCTCATTCATGTCTTTGAGAAAAAATGTAATTGAAGACTCGTAAAAAGCATAACATAATAATACTAACTTCTAATTACATGTTTAACATTTCTCATGGAATTAAACGTTATGGTTGTTTTCTCAGTAATGGATATTATGCCATTGTTGCCTATTACCATCAATGCTGCTATTCAATATAATAATTTAAAATCGTCTCAAGGGCCACTGGAAATGGTCTCGCGGGTCTTGACTTTGACACCTGTGTTTTACTGCTTTGTGTAATTCTTTCTATCTTGTTTTGCTTTAGCACTTTGAGTAGTTTTTTTTCTCCCTTTTCCTGATTATGGTTTTATTCACCTTGGAATGCGTCCCAGGCTCCACCAGCTGTTCCCAAAACTCTTTTCCAACTGTTATGTGAAGTTATAACCATATGCAGAAATGTACTGAGTTGAATTATTTGGAGCAGAAACTTCTGAACCAAGCTAGCAAACATAGAAAGAGATAGATAGATATTTTATTGATCCCCATAGGAGAAATGCAGGTGTCCAGTAGCAGCAAAAACACATCCATCCAAACAAACAAAACAAATAAACTGATCATTCTAAAAAGCTAACAATCGTAAAGTCTTCAGGTCACAGCAGCAGAGGTGGAGTTGCCGCTTGGTTCAGACCATTTTCTCTGCTCTGATACAAAAGAAAATGCTAAATGCTTTGTTAGCATTCCCCCAGTGGATTTTCGCCCAATCTACTTGGTTGGGACCATGAATACTCTTGGCTCCGGTCTGGACCAGTGCAAAACCATGTCTGTTTATCACGTCTGAAGGCAGTTAACATCTCTTGAAGCAGATCTGGAAAGAATTTTTGCCCCAAGTGAACCAGACTTGGCCCAGTTCAAGTGAACCGGACCATCTAATTAAATCTCTGAGTTTTTTTTAAAGAGTTTGTCTGTTTTAAAAGCTATGCATGAACTGAGCAGATAGATACAGTATAGATTGAATTATTTAAAAAAAACAATTTTCACTCATGATTCTTGTCTTTATTAACAGTGATATGTACCGATCAGAACAGTGACATTTACACAATGCTGTATTAAGGTTCAGGTCGGTATTGAAGGATATGAACTCCGTTTTCACGGTTAGTCAGCCTTGCAGTTCAGTTTACTCAACTTATCTGCATTCTTGAGGACAAAGATTTTTTTACAGTCTTTGAACTCTTTGTATGATTTCTCCGCTATATCTATCACTTTGAACTTCTCATACGGTGGAATGAGCACTTCGCTCTCACCCAGACGAGAATATTTTTCGATGTTTGCGCCGTAGCAGGTCTCGATGTAAAAGCAGCTCTCTGTTCCAAATGTGCCCAGATCCGGGTCAGTGCTGGAGGACGCAAAAGAACCAAAGCGCATCTCTTGGTTGACTTTACCTGTAATTTTGACTTTGGTTCTCCTGTATGTTGTGTGGCACTGCTTGTTTGGGTTCAGGCGCTGTAAGGCGGTAGTGAGCCAAAAGTGTAGAGAGTGGTAGTCGTATTTTATGGTACCATAGATTTTGGCTCCGTCTCGGTTGATGGTGTTGAAACGTTCGTAGACATCAGGGAACTGTTGTGAGTACGTAAAGATGGCTTGACATTGGTCGAGGGTTAATATCTTAGTTGGTTGCTGATCATACTTTCTTTTGGCAGGACTTTTGGCCAGTTTCCAACCATCCTTAAACGGCTGCGTCTTGTTCTCTCTGGGGAAGTAAACCCCCATGACTTTAGCCTCCATTGCAGACTCACAGTTTCGGTACATGTCGTCAATCGATTGCTCCATCAAACTCAGCCTGATTTCTCCGGAAACCTGGAAAAGAAAAAAAAGAGAATTAATTGGATACTGATCTCCAATCTTCCACTCCTGTCAAAAATTGGTAAATCTGCCAAACCTTTAACATGTTTGCACACTTCCTGAATGTCTTTTGTACAATCTGACTGATTCGATCCATGCCAAATGTGACCTGTAAATTTCTCCAGTGTGAGATCAATATAGTCAGTAAAGTCTATCTAATCTTATCTTGTGATCCTTCAAGTCCAATATCTCAGCTCCTTTAGCCTCTTTGAAATATTTTAATATCCTTCCCCACTGCTCAGAGACAGCTCTTCTAATATGTATCATGGTTTTCTTCTGTCTCTCCGACTGCGTTGCCTTAAACAACTGTAAGTCCCAAACCTCTCCAGTCTCTCTTGGTGTGCCTCAAGGTTCGTTTGCTTGGCCCCCTCCTCTTCCCCTTGGCCTCATCCACCACAGACCACATTTTCACTGCTAATGATTTTGTAGGCAGGTAGTTTGAAGTTTTAATGTCAAATCTGAAACTCATATAACGTCCCCTCTAAGGAACTAACCAATAACCTCCCTGCAGATAAAGCCAATACTCTTTAAAAGTGTGTGTAGCCTCATTATAATCTCACCATTGTAAAAGAAGGTATCACCAGACAAAGCACCATAGCTAGCATCGTGGACTCCATTTCTAGACTGTAAAATACAGCATAGAATTAAAAAAAATATTGATTTACAATTTGATAATTGAATAGTTGGATAGATATTGTGATCCTTACCTCAAGCCCAGAACTGTGACTGTTTGCAGCTCACGGCCGGTCCTTAAATAGTGGAGTTTTGGGTGTTTGCCCAACTTCCAAAGAAACATTACGTTTTTCCTTGTAATATAATTTCATCAGTGACAAAGTATGACTGTACGCACATTAGGTAACACTTTAATTCACTGGTATTTGAAGGGCCCTTTCTTCAGGTTAGCTGACTATAAAACTGAAAGAAATATAAACATATTATTTGAAATGAATGATGCTTATATGTTCTTTTACTTTTGTTACGAGTTTAATGTTTTCTTTCTTGTGTTTTAAATGCATTGAGCCTTAGTACAGTAAGGTCTATGAAATGTACTATAAAAATAAATATGCCTTATGTTGGCTCTAGTTGACAATATCATAATAATAACTCGGTCTTATGTTTACTTAAAGAATATTGAGGCGATTGCTGTCTAGGCTCTTACTTAGGATTAAATCATCTGTTTCCAAATGAGTTTGAACTTGTTATAACTGCAAACACAAAGATTATAATAATAATATTTTACTAAAAGACTACAACAAAGTAACACACAACTGTGAAGTGAAAGCAGAAGTGGAGATTGGACAAATATATCCACAGCTCCAGAAGCTTTTCGTCCAAGAACGTCCAGTGTTTTACTCCATCCACCTTCTCATCAACTCTGCCTCTCTTCCTTGTCCCTGCTGAAAAAATTCAGCCCCATGACACGATGCTGCAAATAACACCATGTTAATTCCCTATGGTAATGGTGCAATGATGAAGATGAGCAGTTTTAGTTTTGAGCCATACATTCTGTATGTTTTTCAGTTTCTCCGGAGTTTCTCCGTTAGAGTTGTGAGCTCGAGTCTTGGTAGATTTGCAGTTGTGCCATACTCTTGACAATCCCAGATGAGGGATTTAGCAGTGCTCTTCAAAGCTTTGGAAACGCTTGTATAATTGAACGCTGCTTCTCAACTACATTCCTAACCTCACTGGCGTGCTCCGTGGCCTTCATGATGCTGTTTAGTGATCAATACTCAATGATTTGAGGCTGGTGTGGTTACACTAGGAGGAGATTACACACCGTACAAAATATTTCAAATCATGTATATATTTTGATTGGACCACCTTCACTCAGCCAATCAGCTCTCTGCCCAAAACAACAAATATTGACTCACAAGGGCCATATTTTATTGCAAATGTATTTATTTTTTTACAAGACGCAGGTAAAATTTCTGGTCCGAATCATTCACAACATTTTACTTCTATAAGACTTTTTTAATGAATAAATACAAGCAGGATAACCTAGCGTTTGCATTTTGTTTTTGCTGAAACAACAACAAGTATTACGTTTCAAGCTAAAAACATCATGCCGGTTAGTAAAAGGTAGGAGTATTTTGTTGTTGTTGTTTATTTTTGTTTTTTGACACTTCAACTTGTGTTTGTATTGCTGTTGAAGGAGATATCTTGAATGGTTCGGTGAGTGGATGTGTGTGTATTTTTTGAGGGTATGTATGAAGTATGCATTTTTTTTATTGATTGTATGTTTGATGTCATTTTTGTCATTCATGTTTGTGTTGTTGTTTTTTGTTTCATTGTGTATACTTGCTTTTGTAATATAAAAAAACATAATTAAAAATACAACAACTACAAATATTAACATTCAAAAACACTTTACTATTTATTTATTTGGTTTATCTATTTTAAGAACTTGTTATTTTTGGACCGGAAGTGTGTTACAAATGACGTGATGCTAGGGCGGAAGCAGATACGGTTAGCTAAGATGGCGGAGGAGCGGCAGGAATCATCACAGGGGGAGGTGGAAGGTGAGACAAACTGTTCTTGCACAATATAGACATCATTTTATTAAGATTTCAATCCAGTTATTCCAAACCTTTAATAAACTCCGCAAACCCGTGTCTTTCCGCTTTAACCCTGGGACCAGCACCAATCTGGCTGCAGCATTTTGGCTAGTGCTCGTTAGCAAACAGGGCTACACAAAGAAAAACCGTGATTGGGATTTTTGGAATAAAAAACAGCGCATGACAGTCGTAAAGTGAATGCATTTACGTCATGCATTGAGTCTGTGAACGTTGTCAAAGCCAGGCCAGGTTTGGTTTGTTTTCTATCTGAATGTCCTAGCAAAGTTGATCAGATGGAGACTGATGTGTTTAGCCTGTCAATTAGTTAGTACTATTGATTAATAATTATCTCCTTAAATTGCATATTTAGAATATTCTATAACGCACCCGGGTCTCTAGATTTGGAGAAGCTTTCATGTTATATTGTAATAATAGTTTGTTTATTTCATACAATTCAATAACTTGGTGACATGATGCAAAAATACTGTACATGCTACGTACAGAAATACATAGGTTTGAATTAGAAACTAAAGATTTTAAACGTCTACCCTTTAGTGGTGTCAAATAAAAAGCTGCTACACATAAACTAAAAAAAGACATTAGGCCATGTTGATGATTTTCTGCCATCAACATTCAAAATAGACTTGTTTAAATAATATTATTTATTATTTATCTAATCTGAAGCAAAGTCTAAGTTCTGCAGTGTTTTAAATCTATAGTCATAGAGATGGCAGGTGTTCTTCCTTTGTTATTGACTAATGTCCTGTTTGTGTAAATCATTTTCAGAAATTTTTTGGGGACATTTTGCCTCTTGTCAAATATAAAATGTAACTGTTTATTATTGAAACTGTTACATTTTACTGTTCCAATGGTACTATTTTACATGTTTCCATAAACCCTGTTTAACCAGGTCCTTCTTTAGTCCCTCCTGGTCCCTCTAGCCAGGCTGAGCTGGTACTAAAGTGCTCTGTGACAGTGAATGGTCACTGCTGCTGGAAGCCAGGGTTACCAAGGAATTTCCCCAAATGGCTATGGTACCAGATACTAAAGCTAAATGGAACGAGTGCAAGGCGTTAGTATTTGTTTTACTGTATGTTTTATTAAATAAAAAACGAAACAACTGCTAAGCTAAATTGAGGGCACGAGTTAAAGTAAAAATGTTTTCCTCTGTTCTCGTCTACAATGTTTCTATAGTTGAGATTGGGTACTTTCAATCTCTTGGTTATTGGTGCTATCAGTCTCCATATCTCAAAAATAACAGCTATTAGACACAAGGGAAATTACTTGCACACAGTTGTTGAAATGAATACAATCAAAAGTATAACAAGTGAAAAATGGATTTGTATAATCCAGATTACTCTCAGCAAATAGGGCCTTGGGGGTCACCTAAAAATAAACAAAATGTACCAAGCTTTGCTCCCACTTATCTTTACCAACTCAATAAATGTGAGAAATTCAAAACTATTATTCTCCTCTCTGCTGAGAATATACTTTAAGAGTAAATCTGTGATCAGAGGCAGAAACATCAGGGTCTCAGCTTCATTAAGAGGCCTGCGAGTTGTTTATAATCCAAAGAATTCACGAGCAGTTAGCTGGAAATGCAGACTGCAGCCATTTTGGAAAACATAAGGCACAATTCAGGGTTTAAAAGCGGCCTAATCTTGCAATAAAGCCAAAGTGCAGGGCTTGGTTCAACAATGGACAATGGACAGACTGAGAGATCAACACGCTGGGACTACAGGTGTAAATGACCTCCTGCTTTAACCTGGTGCACAACTTTTAACTAATGTTTATTATACACTGTCTCGGTGAAAAATAGAAAGTGTCCCAGGTTGGAGAAACTCACATTCAGGACCCGGTGGCTCCTTCAAGTACTTATCAGGATCATTCTTTCACTGGTATGCAGTATTATTCCCATATAAGGACAGAGATAATCTGCGATAAATGGACCAAAGACTCCTGTGTGTTTTGCATTTCCTGCGTTTAAACTGTTCGATTCTCTTATCTGTTGTTGGCGAATCAACAACTTTGTAAAGTTCTCTGAGACGTCTACTGTTGTGAATAAGGGCTATACATAAATACATTGAATTGCATAATCTGATTGCTTCACCTCAAAATAATATTGGCCTCTGTGCAAGTAGTTTTTCAAGCCGCCTCATGTTTAGTCCTGAGTCTGGGACCAGCAGGAGGCCAGTCCCTGTGCTCCTCAGGGTCGCAGCAGGAGGCCAGTCCCTGTGCTCCTCAGGGTCCCAGCAGGAGGCCAGTCCCTGTGCTCCTCAGGGTCCCAGCAGGAGGCCAGCCCCTGTGCTCCTCAGGGTCCCAGCAGGAGGCCAGCCCCTGTGCTCCTCAGGGTCCCAGCAGGAGGCCAGCCCCTGTGCTCCTCAGGGTCCCAGCAGGAGGCCAGCCCCTGTGCTCCTCAGGGTCCCAGCAGGAGGCCAGCCCCTGTGCTCCTCAGGGTCCCAGCAGGAGGCCAGCCCCTGTGCTCCTCAGGGTCCCAGCAGGAGGCCAGTCCCTGTGCTCCTCAGGGTCCCAGCAGGAGGCCAGTCCCTGTGCTCCTCAGGGTCCCAGCAGGAGGCCAGCCCCTGTGCTCCTCAGGGTCCCAGCAGGAGGCCAGTCCCTGTGCTCCTCAGGGTCCCAGCAGGAGGCCAGCCCCTGTGCTCCTCAGGGTCCCAGCAGGAGGCCAGCCCCTGTGCTCCTCAGGGTCCCAGCAGGAGGCCAGCCCCTGTGCTCCTCAGGGTCCCAGCAGGAGGCCAGCCCCTGTGCTCCTCAGGGTCCCAGCAGGAGGCCAGCCCCTGTGCTCCTCAGGGTCCCAGCAGGAGGCCAGCCCCTGTGCTCCTCAGGGTCCCAGCAGGAGGCCAGCCCCTGTGCTCCTCAGGGTCCCAGCAGGAGGCCAGCCCCTGTGCTCCTCAGGGTCCCAGCAGGAGGCCAGCCCCTGTGCTCCTCAGGGTCCCAGCAGGAGGCCAGCCCCTGTGCTCCTCAGGGTCCCAGCAGGAGGCCAGCCCCTGTGCTCCTCAGGGTCCCAGCAGGAGGCCAGCCCCTGTGCTCCTCAGGGTCCCAGCAGGAGGCCAGCCCCTGTGCTCCTCAGGGTCCCAGCAGGAGGCCAGCCCCTGTGCTCCTCAGGGTCCCAGCAGGAGGCCAGCTCCTCAGGGTCCCAGCAGGAGGCCAGCTCCTCAGGGTCCCAGCAGGAGGCCAGCCCCTGTGCTCCTCAGGGTCCCAGCAGGAGGCCAGTCCTCCTTGGTTGATATGGCACTAACATGTCACTGTTGTACTTTGGTGCGAGGCCGTGGAGAGGCTCGAGTTTGGCAGTTGCGTTTTCAGGAAGGTTTTATTACTCACACATTTCTCAATCGTTGCTCTTTCACCAAACCATTAAAAAAAATAAAGTCTTCTCAAAACATTGTCTCTTGTCTCTTGCAGGAGTCAACTGTCTTGCATATGACGAAGCTATAATTGCTCAACAGGACAGAATTCAACAAGAAGTGAGTTGACATAAACCGCTCTAATGATCTTAACTGAAACACGTGTGATAAGCATCTGTGCAGAACAGGAATAACCAGTTTATAATGGAAAACTCTGTTAAACTTTCAATATGTGCTTTAAGATCTGAAGACCTTGGCCTAGTTTGTGTAAATGTAATCTCTCTGGCCAGTTTTAGTTTAACATTGTTCAGTCATTTGGTCTAATAAGTATATTTGTGACTTATTTGCTGCATTTATGTTTTGCATGGTTTAGGAGGTTTTGTAGTAGGCATACACTGTAAAAAATGATAAAATAATTCCCTGAATTGAGTTTTCATCATCTGGGTGGGTACTTCCTGACTGATTTAGAACAAGATTCACCAATGGGACAAAGCCATTTAGTCTTATTCCAAGAACTGATAATTTGTTCCCATTTTTTTGTGCTGATTCACAAGAATGGCTTTTGAATCTGACTGTCTGTGTTTTCAGATCGCAAATAGTAACCCTTTAGTGTCGGAGCGGCAGGATCTGTCCGTACTGCTGAGGGAGTACTCTGAAGACACGGTTTATCAGGACAAGATCAAGGTATTCACCGGATCAGAGACACAATCCATACTTACTATACCACTTAATATACCACTCACCATACTATACGCCTCACTATACACCTTAATGTAACACTCACTTAGGGGTGGGCAAAATATATCGTAGACAATAATATCGCGAAAGTGAATTTGAAGATATGCTTTTTTGTATCGTCTTTTTTTCTTATTTTCTTTTTTCAATACATATTACAATTAGAGCAGGCCCATTCGTCAAATGAGTGCCTAAAGCGCCAATCGCAGCATTATTTGTAAATTCAGAAAATATTTAGCAAGCCTTTTTGGAAGTGTTCTTTCTTGTTACTTGAATTAGATTTTTAATGTTAATATTTATTTGTGCATGTTTACTATTTATATTAAAATGATACTAATTATTTGTGTTCATATCGCCCACCCCTACACTCACTATACTATACCACTCACTATGAAAATAGTGCACTACAAAAAATGAAAATTGCAAAAGTAATAATAAAAAAATAACAAACACAGTTACACAAACAATAGACCAATCTCTTTATTGCCTCAATTTTCAAAAATTCTTGAAATACTTTTTAACTCTCGGCTTGAAAAGTTTCTCGAGAAACGCCAGATAATACATGAGGGTCAATATGGTTTCAGAGCCAACAGAACCACATCAATGGCAATAATGGAAGCAATTGAGGAAATCACAAATGCATTGGATCAAAAAAAGTTAGCAGTGGGTATTTTTATATAGATCTAAAAAAGCCTTTGATACTATTAATCACTCGATTCTACTCAGTAAGATGGGGAAATATGGAATTCGTGGGGTAGCTGGGGATTGGCTGAAAAGTTACTTGACTGAAAGGATACAGTTTGTTAAAATGGGGCATTACATATTTGGAGAACTTGGCATTGCTTGTGGTGCCCCAGGGGTCCGTGTTAGGACCTAAATTATTTAATGTGTTTATAAATTACATTTTTTATGTATCTCGAGTATTAAAACATATTCTTTTTGCTGATGACACAAATATATTTTACTATAGTAATGATTATGATGAACTGGTGAATACTGTGAACAAGGAACTGAATATAATTAAAAAGTGGATGGAAATGAACAAGCTATCCCTCAATATAGAAAATACAAAATCAATTATGTTTGGCAACCTAAGACTTATTTCAGACACAAAAGGTATCAAAATTGAAAACATGAATGAAAATACATTTTTGGGAATTATAATTGACAATAAATTGTCCTGGAAACTCCACGTCGGATACATAGCTAAAATCTCCAAAAGCCTTTCAATTTTAAATACAGTTTTTCTCTATCGCTTAAACACATTTCACGATACTGCCCTCCCTTTTCTCAAAACTCTAAACACAAACCTCTTTTCTAAAGCTACGTACACACAACAACAGTCTCTTTTCAAAACCAACCCATCACACCAAAACAGTTTCTCATATTCTCAAAACCAACCCATCACACCAAAATACCTCTAATGGTCTGCAAAAATGTGAACACTATGAGCATCATTTATAAACCACATCACCAAAACAATTGAAAACACAATTTTCAGAATGTGAGACTGTTCTTTTTACGGTTTCACAACAGGATGCATTTGAGCAACACTTTTTAATTCTCAAATATGTTTTGGGCCTTTACTATAGATTTGGGCGTATCATGGAAATAGTTACATAACACAGAAAATGCAGTTGTATCAAACCTCGGCCTGCTCCTCTCCCTCCTCGGCCTGCTCCTCTCCCTCCTTGGCCTGCTCCTCTCCCGCCTTGGCCTGCTCCTCTCCCGCCTTGGCCTGCTCCTCTCCCTCCTCGGCCTGCTCCTCTCCCTCCTCGGCCTGCTCCTCTCCCTCCTCGGCCTGCTCCTCTCCCTCCTCGGCCTGCTCCTCTCCCTCCTCGGCCTGCTCCTCTCCCTCCTCGGCCTGCTCCTCTCCCTCCTTGGCCTGCTCCTCTCCCTCCTTGGCCTGCTCCTCTCCCGCCTTGGCCTGCTCCTCTCCCTCCTCGGCCTGCTCCTCTCCCTCCTCGGCCTGCTCCTCTCCCTCCTCGGCCTGCTCCTCTCCCTCTTTGACCTGCTCCTCTCCCTCCTTGACCTGCTCCTCTCCCTCCTCTGACACGAACTCCTTTTCTTCTGCCTTGATTATCATTTTCATTTTGAACCTTCATCAAACTGCACTGACTTATAAAGTTGTGGTCACATCATTTGCAGCAGGTGTTTTCAGTTCTGAGTGGTTGTGTTTTCTTTTATTTATTTATTTATTTTTGTTGGAAACTATGATGGACAAGAGGTGACTTGTGTCTTATGTGAAATGCCTGAAATGAATAAACAAACTATACCACTTCTAGCTATTATTGCCTCATAGTTTATCCTTTTTTGCAGTGTATTGCTGTAAACGTATCAAGTGTTTTATTAGCAGTTCCATTTGGACTTGAATGATGGCAGTAAAATCACTGAATGTCTTTCGTGCAGGACCTCCATAAAAAGTACATGCACATTCGAAAGACGCGGCCGGACGGGAACTGCTTCTACAGAGCGTTCGGCTTCGCTCACCTGGAGTCGCTGCTGGACGACAGTAAAGAGCTTCAGAGGTGGGGGCCCACACCAACACAATCTCACACTCTCACCCTCACACACCCTCACACTCTCATACCTCCTCACTCCCTAACTCTCACACCCCCATCACCCTCTCATACCCCCATCACCCACTCATACCCCCATCACCCACTCACACCCCCATCACCCTCTCATACCCCCATCACCCTCTCACACCATCACCCTCTCACACCCCCATCACCCTCTCACACCCCCATCACCCTCTCACACCCTCACACCCACTCACCCCCTCATTCCCTCACCCTGTTCTCTTCCCACTGTTAAAACCCCTAAACCTTGTTCTTCCAGATTCAAAGAGGTGGCAGCTAAAAGTAAACAAGACCTGGTGGAGGAGGGTTTCACAGAATTCACCATCGAGGATTTCCACAACACTGTGAGTACAGACGGAAATATCAAATTATTAAGTTTTATAGATCCCAGCTTTAAGGAAGTATTTAGAGGAAGTATGATTGACTTCTGGAGCAAGCACAAAGAGATAAGATTAAACTTTATTGATCTCACAGTGGAGAAATTCAATTGGCATTTGGCTTTGATAAGATTGCTCAGGGTGTGCTGAAGAAAAAACATGTAGGGTATTTTATGTACAGTTCAAAAAGTACAACGTTGCTGTTTTAGTGCAGGTTGTCATTATGAGACTCGTTGTACAGTCTGACAGCGGTGTGGGTGACGGCCCTGTGATAGCGCTATCATTCTCGGGGTGCAAGCCTTCAGCTGGTCTTTTCTCTGTGACTGCCGAATCTTGTGGGAAACTCAAAAAAAGACATTCAAATTATAAATAATCACTGCACATTATAGTAAGTAAGTAAGTAAGTTTTTATTTATATACCGCCTTTTCACTGCAGATCTGAGTCTCAAAGCGGTTTACAATTGTTAATTTTGGGCATTTGTCTCTCACTCCACACAGAGATGGGAGCGGGGTCGCCAGTACAGGAGGCACATGCCAGAACTATTGGACATATTTTTAGTGGTAGGGGAAACCGGAGTACCCGGAGGAAACCTACGCAGACACGGGGAGAACATGCAAACTCCACTCAGAAAGGCCCTGGTCCGACCGGGATTCGAACCCAGGACCTTCTTGCTGAGAGGCGAGAGTGCTATCCACTCAGCCACCGTGCCGCCCACGGCATTATATACACTATATATATACATTATAAAGGGCTTTAACTTGGAAATGAACATTGTCAGAGAAGAAGCCTGTCTCATATTTTCGGGAAGACTGTTCCAGATTTCATGAATCTCAAACGCTGCTTCCCCGACTGGGACCAGCACAGACTTTAAAGCAGGGGTCGGGAACCCAAAATGTTCAAAGAGCCATAATTGACAAAAAAAACTAAAAACATCTGTCTGGAGCCGCAAAAAAATAACAGCCTTGTATAAGGCTTTTATGAAGGTAACACAGGCTGCAAGATGTATTAGCTATATTAGCCTAATATCTAGTAAGTATGTAGTAAGTAATCTTTATTTATATACCGCCTTTTCACTGCACATCGGAGTCTCAAAGCGGTTTACAATTGTGATTTTTGGGAGTGGGGGTGCCAGTACAGGAGGCACATGCCAGACCTATTGTACATATTTTTAGTGGTAGGGGAAACCGGAGCACCCGGAGGAAACCTACGCAGACACGGGGAGAACATGCAAACTCCACTCAGAAAGGCCCTGGTCCGACCGGGATTCGAACCCAGGACCTTCTTGCTGAGAGGCGAGAGTGCTATCCACTCAGCCACCGTGCCGCATATCCATATCTAAATGACAAAGTAAAGGCTACAAATACATAATAATCATTCATGATTATCAAATGTGTATTTTCACTGCAGCGTGTCGCACCACGCGTGTCCTGAATGACGCAACACATGACGACTCTGCTTTAGTTTAACTTCCATTTTTTTGCCTTCATGCAATTGTAGAAATACAGAAAAAAAAATCTGCTTTGGGCTCAGAGGTCACCTGCATCACTGTCTGCTCATATCCATCACGTCACAGGCTGAAGTTTGCTGAAGCTGAATTAAAATCCTTAATGGCCGTTTCTTTCACCGTCTTTGAGAAGGTTTTGAAGTCTGAAAATAGGTGCTCTGAATTTTTGATGAATGAATCCTTCATGTAATCACCGTGTACGGTGTTTTGTGCGTCATTGTTCCTCGTGTTGCAACAAAACTACTCATTACAAACATGAAGCAGTCCTTCCTCATTGACTGAAAGAAAATGTTCATTCTCATTCTTAGTCCAGTCTTGTTATCGACTCTTTCTCGTTTTAGCTTTGGGATCAATGTGCACTTACAGTCTATCATGCACACACGCCGGTTTGTTTACAACAGCGGCCGCATGGGGCGGGGCCGCGTGACCGCGCGTCATAGGATATGACGCACTACGTTGACAGAAATGTTGAAATTAAATATTACTTATACACATTTTTACAGCATTTAAAAACGTAAAGATTGTTTTTCCTTCTACAGAAACCACATTCAAACTAGAAATAAAATATAGCCCTCACACTCCATTTTCAGACCTGTTTGAAAAGGCTCCAGGAGCACTCAAGAGCCGCATGCGGCTCCGGAGCCGCGGGTTGCCGACCCCTGCTTTAAAGCGACTGGGACTCTGAGGAGCACAGGGACTGGCCTCCTGCTGGTCCCAGAGTCAGGACTCAACATGGGGAGGCAGCGTTATAGATTAATGCAGCTAAAATCCAGAACAGTCTTCCTGAAAATGTGAGACAGGCCTCTACTTCTGACAATGTTGAAATCCAGGTTTAAAACAGTTCTTTAGCTGCATACAGGATACAAGGATTCACTCTTTTTTTATTGTTTTATTCATGATTGTAACGCTTGTTGTTGTGTGATTGTTTCAATCTTGTGCCTTGTGTAAGAACTGTGCCATACAAATAAACTTGACCACGGTCTCTGTTGCCGCGCACAGTTCATGGACCTGATCGAGGTGTGCGAGAAGCAGCAGAACCTACAGGACCTGTGGAGCTCCTTCAACGACCAGAACGTGTCGGACTACATGGTGGTCTACCTGCGGCTACTGACCTCCGGGTACCTGCAGCGGAAACCCAGCTTCTTCCAGCATTTCATCGAAGGAGGACGCTCCATCAAAGAGTTCTGTCAGCAGGTGAGTCCCAGGCCGAGAAGGGGGGGGTGGGGACACTGCAAAAAGAGATGAGAAATAAGTCAAAAATCTGAGTTTGAGGACATTTTGACTGCCTTAAAACAAGATTTGCCAATGAGAAAAAGCCAAAATGTTATGGCCCTCTTGGAATGAGAAAATGAACTCATTGAGTGCTATTTAAAACTTCCCTCTATTAGACTGTTACAGGACAACAAAGCTAGTTGGATACAAACATATTTTTCCTGATGAAAGTATACAATCCAGTCTTTCAGAATCTTGTTTCATATTTAACTTCGTCATAGCACATAATATTCTGTGGGTCTTGAGAATCAGTGAAATCATCAAAAGTGGCTGGCAGTCAATGAGTTGAGCAACAGTTCTTAAAATACGACTAAATGGCTTTGTCCCATTGATAAATCAAATTATGTACTGAAGTCTTGCTGCTAGATGTTTTTTGTATTTTGTTATTTTAGTATAGTTATTATTTATCTTGTGTTGTGAGCTCCTCAGTCCCACTCTCTGTATGCACAGTGGAACAGACCTGTTTCTAACCCTTGTGCTATCCTCACCAGTGATAAAAAATAAATACAAATAAAAAAAATAAAAAATTTATGAAGCTGAATTTTTATAATTTTTGTTATCTTTACCAGCCCTGAGTCATTAAGATCCTATTTTAGGGTATTTTTTTGTCTTACAATCCTCTCCGGCGGTTCATTTTTACCCGACGGTAGCACAAGGTTTAACCTGGATTTTAAACATTGTCAGAGCAGAAGCCTGACTCACATTTTCAGGAAGACTGTTCCAGATTTTAACTGCATTAATCTTGTTGTTGCGATTATTGATGTCTTGCGATGTGAGCAGCCTGGACTATTATATAGCGTTAGCTTGATGTGTGCTTTTGAAAACATAAACAGATGGAATGTCCACACTTCATGGTTCCAAATGGTTTAAATTCCACGTCCACAATGAAGTTTTCTACCAAATAACTCAGTCAAAAATACTGTTGGGCCTAAACCCAGATTAGCCTCCACATTACAACTCACAAGTTCCCCCTACTGTCATTAAAATGAACTGCACTTTACCTGCCTCTGGTCAAACACACACAAAATAAGTAACGCATAGGTGCCTACCAAAACAAAATAATGAACTTTGGATTAGCATTCTCTAATGGAAGATAAAACGGTCTTTACAAATCTGAAATGCCTTGTCCTCATATTTAGACCTGACTCTGGAGAGACTTGTTTTAAAGTGATCCACAGGTGCTTAAACAGTGTTACTTGTTGTATGTGCCATCTCCAAAAAAAAACAAAAACAAATTGACCTTGCTTTCTTTTCCCCGGCGCAGGAGGTGGAGCCCATGTCTCGGGAGAGCGACCACATCCACATCATCGCCTTGGCCGCGGCGCTGAACGTGACCATCAGAGTGGAGTACATGGACAGAGGAGACGGCGAGGTCAACCACCACACGTTCCCCGAAGGAGGAGACCCACGCATATTCCTCCTGTACCGACCCGGCCACTACGACATCCTTTACAAATAGCACTCCGCCCGACCTTCACCGACCAAGAGAGACTCAACTAGCTCAGCCACGATTGGAAACAAACGCATATGTGAATTTGAAAATAAAGCAGATTTCATGCCATGGCTCCCGACACTTCCTGACCCTCGCATCCAAACCTCTCAAATAGTGACTCAGACCATTTGGAGTTGTACAGTTTTTTTTGTTTCTTTTGTGGTTGTATATGTATCTTTTTTTGATCATGTTGGATTCCTTTGTTACACTGAGATTTATTGAGTTTTATTAAAGGGATTTACATCTTGCGATTGTTTTGTTGTTCAGGGCGGCGTTCTGGAAAGTACGGGCGGAGGTCCAGATAATGTAGAATAATGTTAAAAATTCTGCGACTTGATTTTGTGGAACTTATATGTGAAACTTATTACACTAAAAAGCCCAGTTTAAATTGGTCCCACTTGGCCTGGCTCTACTCGGCTCTACTCTTCCTGGTTGCGTTTCCATAGTGTCTTGGTACTGTGTCCTAGCAAAACTGACCCATAACAGTTTTAGCGTATTCTTCTTCACAAGGGCGGCACGGTGGCTGAGTGGATAGCACTCTCGCCTCTCAGCAAGAAGGTCCTGGGTTCGAATCCTAGTCGGAACAGGGCCTTTCTGAGTGGAGTTTGCATGTTCTCCCCGTGTCTGCATAGGTTTCCTCCGGGTACTCCGGTTTCCCCTACCACTAAAAATATGTACAATAGGTCTGGCATGCGCCTCCTGTACTGGCCCTGCTCCCATCTCTGTGTGGAGGGAGCGACAAATGCCCAAAATGAACAATTGTAAACCGCTTTGAGGCTCAGCTCTGCAGTGAAAAGGCGGTATATAAATAAAGATTACTACAATATCACGCTTTTTCCTCACACATTGAGTTTGTATACATTTTTCGTGACACTGAGAAATAGAAATCGACACCCTAGAAAGCTACACAAAAAAATTAGTCTGGCATTAGCCATCTGCACACTCCGGTTAATCATTATTTCCTTTAGTATGAAATATAATTTGTACTATGGTGTGGTACGACCAGGCTAACCTAGAACCAGTATCCACAGGAAGTTCCTTGGTTACCACGGCTTCCAACAGTACTCTGGCTTATCACTGACAGAACACTTTAATACCAGCTTGGCCAAGCAGGTACTAAAAAAAGACCAGGTTAAACAAGGCTAACAAGGGCTGGTGGTAACGGGGCTAAAGTAAGATACGCCTTTTATATAGTTGATATTTGGGGTTTTTCCAAGCTATGAGCCAAAAATAATCCATTCATTAATTGGTTTCACATTGTAACTTGAAGTACAGAAATTAATTAACTTTTGAGCTTTTTTAATTTTCACTTTCACCTGTATCTTTCAGATGTGACAAGTTACAAATTCTGTTACTATCCATGTGATTAATGACATTTCTCCAATGTGGGATACATTTAAGTTCTTGTTTACATTCTACAAGTTTTCAAACCACATAAAATGGTCAGCCTACACCCTACTTGGCTCTACGTTACCTGATTGCGTTTCCATTACGCATTCGGATCTGGTACCGTATCCCAGCAAACTACCCACAGCACACCAGTATCTGAGGAAATTCCTTGGTAATCGTGGCTTCCAGCAGCAGTCTGGCAATTTACCGTAAGCTAGAAGACTTTAGTACCAGCTTTGGCCTGGACAGAGTCCGGACCAAGAGGGACTAAAGTACCTGGTGCCATTTTATACAGGGTGAATGGAAATGCTACCAATCTGGGTTGGGTAGAGACAATTAGGGCTGATGGAAACAGGGCTTCATGTATTAAAATCTAAATAATTAGTTAATATTCTCAAAACAGTTATGATCTATCAACATGCATGTATCTTTGACCACATCTTTAGCAGCTTTTGTCAAGAAAGTTAAAAGAACCAGATCAAATAGCGACTCTTAAAATTCTTTCTGACAACTAGATTAAAGAGAACAAGCTTTCAAATAAATACAACATGGATTTACGTTTAGAATTAATGGCTTTTATAATGTGTTTTTCTTGTATTTGATTTGTCCTTATCATTTGAGCTACTTGTGTAATACCACAGAGCGGCCAGAGGGGGGCACTAGTGCAGTTTATTGCCCTGCAGACAGAAGGACATGTAAATACAGCAGAATGCAGCGGAGGGCACTACACTCACATTAGAAAAATAGAACTTTCCTCGTCAAGATGAACGCGTTAAAATGTTTGTCTGTGAGAGGATTAAGAGCAGCATGTGCCCGGAAACACTCGTCCCTCACAAGTAAGTTACACTGAAGTAAAACTGCAGTTGAAGCGGTGTCGATGCTAATGCTAAGCTAATCCAGTCCACCTGTAGCCCCGTTTCCACCAGCCCCACATGGCTCTACTCTACGCTACCCTTTTCTACTCAACTCTACTATACTCTACCCTTTTCTACTCTACTCTATCATTTTCTGCTCAGCTCCACTCTACTCTACCCTTCTCCATTCTATTCTACCCTGTTCTACTCTTCTCTATCCTTCTCTACTCCACTCTGAAAACCAATACATTTGAATTGTCAAGCATTACATTACAGACAATAACAAAAAAGCAGTGCAAATACATATATAACAGATTTAGCCCTGTTTCCACCATCCCTACCTGGCCCTACTATACTCTGTTCTTACCATAGCTTATTGCGTTTCCATTACGCTTCAGTATCTGGTGCTGTGTCCTAGCAACCGACCCACAACAAACCAGTATTCAGTTACCCGTAAATAAATAGGTGAAAATTTGCACCTTTTTTAGCTTGCCATATTCAGTGATGGCATTCTAAATTGTATCTTTTTAAGGCTTTGATTTGTGCCTACAGCTGAACTCATACAAAACATGGACAAGAAGGCGACTTGGGATCGCTTCTACACCGAGAACCGGACCAACGCTGCTGCTTTCAAGAACTTCGAGTGGTTCTTTGGCTTCGACTCCATCCGTCACATCATCCTCCCGTTGTTACCGCCCAAATCTCGCCCCGATCGCCCGTTCCAAGTCCTGGACCTCGGCTGTGGCACGTCCGCACTTGGCCCGAGCATTTACAAACACTCCCCCATAACGGTCCACGTCACATGCGCAGACATCTCGCCGGTTGCCGTGAAACTAATGCAAGAACACGTTACAAGTGAAGAGATTGAGACCAGCGATGCGGCTTCTCAGATTAGTTTTGTGGAGATGGACTGTACTCAGCTACTAAACCACTACGGACCTGAAAGTATTGATTTGATCGTGGATAAAGGCACGACAGATGCTCTGCTCAGGTCCAGAGAGGGGAAAGATAAAGCTAGGCTAATGCTATGTGAGGGTTTGACAGTTTTAAGGCGGTCTGGAGCTCTCCTGCAGTTTTCTGATGAAGATCCGGACGCCAGACTCTTGTGGTTGGAGACGGAAATGCAAAAACAAGGGATTATGGGACATGTAGTCACGCAAGAGGTGGGGGAGTTGAGAGGAGTCGTGTACTTTTGTTATCAAGTTTTGCCAGCTGTGAGTGAATGAAAAGTAGGTGAATAAAATAATGGATTTTGTGTTTTGTTTTTATTTGTGTGAATAGGAAACTATAACGGCATGATAAATGTATTGTGCTACTTAGAATGTTTGTGTTGAAAACCATTCTACATTAACAAAATGGGATAGGAAATTAACAGAAATACACAGTTTGAAAGAGGGGTTAGGGAGAACACACACTGTCCCAAACAGTCTCTGACCCTACACCTCTGTGCGCTCAGGGCATCTGAGGGTTTAAAGGGCCCAGGGCTGGTCAAATTAGGAACAATCATCAAAATTCACCTTGAAAAAAAACCCCCATAATTTTCTAATCACTGTGGAAGGTCAATTTCATGCAAAGGATTTTTATATATATATATTTTTTATAACAGTTTTTTAAATAGAATGGCGGTTTTACCATGTTTCTAAAGAATCTATTATTACGTCCTAAGGAGTAGCTCCACATACTGAGATACACATTGATTATAAAGTCGTTCTAAATGTAGTTTCTGCTGTTTCCACAGACTATCACGGAATGAGTTTTGTCCATTCGGTGGCAGAGAGTTTAATCCGACCATGATTCAAGCCGTTTAGTTGAAATAGTATGCATTATTTTTGGAAATGAAAAAAAACTTGTGTGAATGAATCTCTTCAGTTGTAAACGTATGGTGAAACATAAAATATACATGTGAAAGAGTAAGTAATATCTGTTTTTTTTCTTGTAAATGTGTACATATTCACAGATATGTATATACCTGAGTACCTATATCCAGATTGCTGTATTCTAACATATTATATTATCATTATTAGATTGTTACTTTAAGGTTATTTTTATTGTGAAATACTCGGCAAGCTATTGTGGATCAATAAAATCTGCCCTATTCCGATGCTACTGCCAAAGAGAGAGGTAGAAGTACTTTTGTTTTTGTCCGGATCTGAAAATTACCAAATGCAAACAACTCAGAAACTTGGGTAATGGTCCCTGAGTTTGCATCACTTTATATCACCCAGTAAGTATTCTATAGATTTATTTATATAACGCATCCCCAAAGTTATCCATAGCGCGTTTTGGGAGTATCGATATTACCCATTCTCTTCACACACAGTGATGACAGAAACAAGACCCCAAACACACTGACACTACTTCATTCCCTCATTATATTCAAACCAGTTTTACATGTTTTCAGTGGTAGGGGAAACCGTAGCATCAGGAGGAAACCTACGCAGAAAAGGGGAAAACACGCAAACTCCACACAGAAAGGCTCTGTCTGGAGCTGGAATCAAACCCAGGACCTTCTAGCTGTAAAACAGAAGTGTATTCTTATAAATGTATTCTTATAAATAGTAAATGTGTGTGTTTTCTCACATTTAATCAGCAAAAACTTTATTGAAATTCCATAAAATGCTTTTCCTGCACTGTTTGTTATTTTGTGACGTGAGTCAATAGGACGGTTAATTATTAATTCATGGGGAGACTCTGGGAGGAGGAAGTTTTAATATGAGACTGGACCAGCACTGCCCACACTCAAGAGGACAATGCAGAACGAAGGTAAATGTAACCGACTTTTATGAATTATTGACTTTAACTTTAACAATGAACCTGTGTTTTTGTCTTCTATAGCGATATCAAAGGAGGCTATGGCCCTGACCTTTGTGCTTTACCTAATGGCTCCTATTGCTTTGGCTCAGGTGAGAAGTATTTACTATACTACTACTAATACGAACAATATCAATAAAACAGACAAATAACGAGAATATCATTTTAAAAATTAAGAAAGAAATGCTCTAAATTAAAAACAAAATGAATTTGAAGAGGGGGGGGTAGAGTGTGAGAAAAATTCTTTCTTATTGCAACCTCAAAAATGCATGTTTTCAAATTCATCAAATCAGCGCTTTTCTTGTGAAAATCTCACACTACATACGATACATGTGTCCTAAAGTGATCGAGTTAAAGTTATTTAGCAAGTGTCCCAATGTGAAGTGATGAAGGGTCCAGACCATAGAGAGTATATATTAATGGACGTAGTCACGCCTATCTCCGCCATTCTAACTAATGGGCCAAAAATTGGGCTCTCATGGAGTGATTCAAAATGGCCGCGGGGGCTGGAAAATGTGAAAAAACGCATCTGTGCATGTGTCAGCCGGCACAAGCCCCATTCATTTAAACGAGTGACTTCAAAAATTCACAGCAAGTAAACTGTAGTGGTCCCCTCAGCATTGACACACATGTGGAACGGAGCTTTGGGCCAAGAGCCAACTTTTGGACCATCCTGTAAAGACGTTTTTGAGAGGTAAGAAGATGCTACATGTTAGCATTGGCTATTTCTTATTCCGGGTCCACCCCCATCGGCCCGGGGTGGTATTGAAGCATGTCAGCGCACGTCATTTTGGGCACTTTTGAGCCAGGACCCGCCCCCACTGGTCCATACACAAAATGCACGGAGGACGTTAGCAGCATTGCTATCCAGTCACAGTAGAATAAACTCAGGGGATATCGCCCCAGGGCCATTGCTGATCCCCCTCCCTCTGACTGATTAACACCAATTCAACAACCCATTTTTACAGTATATTCATGAAATATGACACTAATGTTTGTGATTTTTTCAAACTCAGCCGATCGAGTTGACCATGATGAACCAGAGCGTGGACGACAGCTTCGGCGGCTGCAGAGACGAGATGGCCTCTAAAGTCCTGGACCTCTATTTCCCCAGAGAGAGCCAGAACCCCCCGTTCCAGAACGCCTGGAGCCTGGCCGAACCCTGCTCCCACAGAGACCAGGACGAGCTGCCGGACCACCACAAGGCGCTCACCAAACACCAGCTGCAGTCTCTCTGTGTGTACACCAACGCCTCCACCAGAATGTACGCCATTCTCAACGCGCAGATTAGAAAAGGCGCTCCGATGTACGACACGGCCTCGTTCCAGTATCACGCTCTGTACTTCTGGATCACGACTGCTTTACAAGTCCTGAAGGAATCTTGTGAAACTACGTACAAACGAACCCGTGACGTCTATAAAGGACAGATTGGTTCAAAGATTCGATTCGGTTACTTGACGTCGACCTCTCGCAGCCCGTATGTGGTGGAATACGGAACAGAGACGTGTTTTCACATCAGGACGTGCCTTGGAGCGTTCATCGGGAACTACTCGGTCGCACCATCGGAGGAGGAGGTCCTGGTGCCTTCCTACGAGGAGTTTAGAATCGTTGACATTGTGTCCGACTCGTACGGAAGTCTGGAGTGTAAAAAGATCTTTGTTCTAGAGAGCGTCGGCTTCAGCAGCGATCTCAACTGTGCCGCGGTGAACCACAGCCAGGGCATCAGGGCCAATGTGCTCCTGATAGTAATATTACTGACCAGTGTTCTAGCCCCTTCTCCATCCTGCGTCATAAACACTTTGCTGTAGAGTAGGACTTTCAAGCTCATTTTGATCAAAGGTCGGGTTAAAAATGAAAAATAGCTTCCCCAGGGACCGAAATTATAAAATAGTTTGAAGCTCATCTTTACCATATTTGCGTTTGCCTCTTTCATTTTATGAAGTTATTCTGACGAAAAAGAATTACTTTAATTTAATCTGAGATTAGAGAATATTTTCCAGTAGACTTAAAGAGGCAGTAAGTGATCTTTTTCCAGACGCTTTTTATTTTTATTTTTATTTTTTAATCTTGTGGGAAAACGTCCCTAAACCCTAAAAGTATCAAGTTATCATGTGTTTTCAAGTAGTAATGGAATTGACCAGATGCCTAAAGTCTCCAAAAATTAATAAAAAATATGTTGGAGCATTTCTTGTGAGTGCACTGGAGTTATCGGATTTTCTAAAACCTAAAATGGCTGAACAGAAAATTCCAATTTCACGTTTGCCGCCCACTCTCCCTGTTGTGAAAAGAAAAGAAAATGCTGGATGTTTGGTTTGGTGGAGAGGGAGGGGAGGGGGGAGTGGTTTGGTGGAGAGGCGGGGGCAGGGGGGAGTGGTTTCCAGTTGGTGCTACGGCTAAGCTAACAACATCACTTACTGCACCTTTCACTAGTTCAGTTACAGTACGTTTGGACTGAACCAATGCCAGGGCAAAGTTGGCCAATGATTTTTGTTTTCAAATGAACAATTTATAGTGACATGTTGGGTTCACATTTCAGAATAAATGAAATGATATGGTTGTTTTCTTGAGACAATTAGCTTTAAAATGAGGTATAACATGGTATGGCCACTGATATTAATCTTATTGATATTAACCATCAATGCTACAAGTTAAAAGTAATAATTGAGAATGTACGTTACAAATCAATGTTTATCTCAGTGTGTGGAGATACTCTTTGGAACTTGTTCACAGCTGATTTAACAACATACTCCAACCTGATTGCATTAAATAATAAAAGTACTGAGAACGAGGAGGCAAGAGAGTGATGTCTTCAACAGTGTGTGTGTGTGTGCGTCATCCATATCTTTACATATGTGTTGTGTAATCTATTTGAATCACATTTTTACAATGTCTCAAAAGAGAAAAATAATTTATCAATGCATACTGTATATTATAACATACAGTATATATATGTATCTTACAGTCATTGCTTTCGTAGGTGTAGATAAGATTTGAGACACAAGTGGTCAGAGTTGGAACTTCACCAAACTGTTACTAACTGTATGTTACTAACATTATGAGTTATTAGTATATTAGTTCACAGTTAAGTATCAATTAAAATATCTGGACTTTAAAAGACATTAAAAGGACTCAAAAATATTTTTTTTGAAAAAAAGATTTAGAACACAGACATAATAAGAGATAGTATGGATCAAATCAAAAGGAAACATTGATTGATATGTTTTGGCAAATTCTTAAACCAGATCAGCCTCTGAGTGGATCATTCAAAGATGAACTCCCACAAGGTTCACATGAACACAACATCAGGAAATCAGACGTGATGGTTTCCCTCTGTTTTTTTCTAAGAATTAAACTAATGAAACTACATTGGAATCTATGAATCAAATGTGGATCTGAAAATATGTTACAAACTTCAGCTCATTCAAAGGATCAGGTCCAAGACACAAACAAACAGAGCTGCTGTAGAAAACTGGACTCATTTATAAAAACAGTCTGTTTTAGAAACTTCTAATGGACTGAAGATGGATTTGGATTCATGTAAACATAAAATATCTTCTAATGATTAAAATCTATATTTTGATAATCAGAAGCCTCTGTCACACCTTTGAACCCTTTGGTGTGAACAAGCACATATAAATCTGAGTGCCTTCTGCTGCAAACAATGCACCAAAACTTGTTAAAGTAATTCTGATTAACGGATAATTATTTTAACAATTTTTTTGTTTGTATAGTATTATAATGAAACAGTTAAACCAGTTGCCACTGAAACTGGAGGCAGAACAAAGCCGCGACTTATTAGATAAGATAAACCTTTATTGGTCCTTCAGTGGGAAATTTCAGTTTCATTATTATGCACATACAACAGAAAGATACTAAAATAATATGATAGAAATGATAAAGATAATAAACTCCAAAGCTACAGTTGCATTAATGAGGTTTCACTTTTACGTTTGGTTAATATTACACTTTAACAGCAGAGAGTATGACCTGCATGAATAGATTGATGGAAAAATACTTTATCAAAAACAGCAGCTCCTTTTGACATAAAATGTACATGTAAACACAAACAAATACAGGACATTTAAGAAAAACACACTTGCGATGAAATGTTTAAATTTAGGATTTCTTCATTTAGTCTCAGGATGGACTGAAGGACAAAGGAAACGATCAGACTGACCTCGGTTCCTAAGGTTTCAAAAAGCACTGTCGGCGGCAGAGCATTTAGCTCCAAGCTCCTTTACTGTGGAACCAACTTCATCCACGTTAAGGAAGCAGACACGGTCTCTACATTCAAGGCCAGACTTAAAACACTCTTCTACAACTTCAGCATATGGTTAGGCTGTTTGTCTGGTTTTGGAGTCTGCTTGTACGAGACTCAGCCCGGCGAACCGCTGCATCTTTCAACCTTTGTTACAAACTCAAACCTCACTTAGTAGTAGTAGGAGTATTTTTATTTAAGCAGTTTTACAATGTATTTTATATATATTTTTTTTAACATGCACATACACTACCGTTCAAAAGTTTGGGGTCACATTGAAATGTCCTTAATTTTGAAGGAAAGGCACTGTAGATAACTTTAAACTAGTTACTACTTAACTGTAAAGAAATACACTCTATACATTGCTTATGTGGTAAATGACTATTCTAGCTGCAAATGTCTGGTTTTTGGTGCAAAAACCAGACATTTTCTGGATTCTTTGACGAAAGCAAAGTTGGATGTAAAACAAATCTTATTTCAAATACAAATCATTATTTCTAACCTTGTCAATGTCTTGACTCTATTTTCTATTCATTTCACACCGTATGGTGGTGAATAAGAGTGACTTTTCATGGAAAACACTTGGGTGACCCCAAACTTTTGAACGGTATAATTCAAGAAAGACAAAAAAAACCTCAAAAGGAGAAGGCAGAAGCAAAAAGCCTGTAAGTGCCTTCCCCATGATCAATAATTAATTTAAGAGGCTGCAAAAATATTTCAATTTTCACATGATATTCCTGATTTTTACCATCATCATTTTTATCTTTTTGATGCAAACAAGCAAAAAAAAAAACAGCAATACTTATCAATTTATGTTCCATTGTTCATCGCCATAATAAATGTAATCTTTATTGTTATACAACATGTGGTGCATTCAGAGCTGTGGCCCCCTCTGGGTCTGGAACCTGTTCTGTGGAGTGCATTAAAAAGACAAGGCTTTATGGACCTATTGGAGGGAGGGGTCCTCTACCCAACAGACCCACACCAAGTCTACCCTCATTCCCAATTGTAAGTGCAGCTGGAGCGATGACACAAGAGGAACTGCCAAACCAGATTGTTTGTTGAGATAAGGAATGATAAGTGACTGTGCCAGAGAAAGAAAAAGAACATAACAACACATATATGCACACAGGTCCTGGGTTTGAATCCCGGTCGGACCAGGGCCTTTCTGAGTGGAGTTTGCATGTTCTCCCCGTGTCTGCGTAGGTTTCCTCCGGGTACTCCGGTTTCCCCTACCACTAAAAATATGTACAATAGGTCTGGCATGCGCCTCCTGTTCGGCGACCCCGCTCCCATCTCTGTGTGGAGTGAGAGACAAGTGCCCAAAAAAAAATAACAATTGTAAACCGCTTTGTGACTCTGGTCTGTGAAAGGCGGTATATAAATAAAAGCTTACTTACTTACTTACTTACTTACATATACATTCATATATATACACACACATAAACATACACATATATATACATAAATTAACTTACATACACATAGATCAAGTTTTTCCCAAAAGGGCATCATTCTAAAGTTTTATAAGTATCGTTATAAGTAAGTATAGTTTGTTGTAGTCAAACCATTTTTTCAAGATTTGTAGTGTTGTAGCCTGGGCTAGCCTAGCCGTGGCTGCTGCTGTCTCTCCTTCGTTCAGACACAGTCTCCACATTCAAGGCTAGACTTAAAATAGTCTTTACTTTAGCAGATGGTCAGGAAGGTAAGACTCAGGGAAGGCTAAACTCAGACTGTCAGTCAAGCTGCATAGGGAGTCAGTTTGCTGGGAGAAGTATGGTAACTTGAGCACTAACCTCTCCTCCTTCCTACTTTATCTGTCTGCATTATTAGGATTTTGACTGTAGTCTGTTTATTGCTATTCACCCGTTGTCCCAATTCTCTGTTTCATGGTGCAACGAAGGCCTCCTCCATCTACACCTGCGGACTGCCCTGCCCGACCTACCTGGGAGCGCTTCAGTCCTGCACCGGACCTGTCCACGTTCTGCGGCCGCTGCGAGGCCTTGGTCCTCGTTCTGTAGCTTAGGTCCTGGATCTACAGCATCAGTCCTCGTTCTACAGTCTGAGTCCTGGATCTACAGCTCGTCCGTCCGTGTGGAGTGGATCCCTCTCTCAATGTGGGTCTCCCCGAGGTTTCTCACTTTTATCCCACTGGGTTTTAGAGTTTTTCCTCTGATGCAGGAGTCTGTTAGACAGTTTTTGTCTAACAAGAAGGACTGTGATGATCCAGGAAACTTTAACGTCCTACAACATGTATGACATTTATCAATATTCATGGACATTTGTCTCTCCCTATGGACCAATTCATGTGTGTTTTCTGTGTCTTAACTGTTGATTCTGTGATCTGTGTTGGTGATTTCAATGGTTTTGATAAGTCTCTGAGATGATGCTGTTGTGATTTAGGGCTATACAAGAATAAATTGTGTTCAACCTGGAGAGACTACAAGAGACGAGATGCGTTTAAGAGTTGTTTATTTTATGGATTGAGTTTGTTTATTGGTTTGGAGCTTAGGCCCCGGCTGTGGCCGTGCTCTGGAGAGATCTGCGCCT